AAACCAGGCTGCTTTTCAGCCTCTCAGCAGATTCTCAGGAGTGTTAGCTGACTTTAGCTTTCACGTGCTTTTGTCCTGGATGTGGCAAATCCTTGTATAGTGAAGTACAGTTCTCCTAAGGGAATTTTCCTAATTTGTCCTAATCAGTTTTGTAATAGGAGACTGGTTTCCTACTACAGGCAGTGGATATCACAACCATTTTCCCTTTTGTAGTAGGAAACCAGAGACCATGTTTGTTAGAACTAATACTTAGCAGCGAAGAATGTGAGTTCTGGAGCTCGTCAGGGCTTGGGCTGTACCCTGGGTTAGTGACTTATTTCCTATAAAAGGAAAGTTCCCGAACCACTTTAAACCTGTTTCTTCATCTTTAAAATGGAGGTAATACCAGTGCTAGAGTAGTCGTGCAGATTAATGAGATACTAACGAAGACCACTTACTTGGCACATAATAGCAGCTTGGTAAATGTTAGTTGGCTATTATATGATTATAGTGAAAGCATGCCGTTGAAGTGAAAGCTTAGCCTGACAGATTGTGGAGGGCTTTGATCGCCGTGCACAAACTTGGACACATCTGTGTTGACTGCTCAGAAATCCTTTTGTCTTCGTGATTTTTTTTTTTTTTTTTTTTAAGATTTTATTATTTGACAGAGACACAGTGAGAGAGGGAACACAAGCAGGGGGAGCTGGAGAGGGAGAAGCAGGCTTCCCGCGGAGCAGGGAGCCCCATGCGGGGCTCGATCCCAGGACCCTGGGATCATGACCTGAGCCACCCAGGCGCCCCAAGTCTTCATGATTTTTGACAGCGTTCAAAGTAGATGAGGTTGCTGTACTACCTGCGTTGTGGATGAATAAAGTCTTGTTATAATTCTTTAGTGGCATTTGAGGCAGGGGCTCACATGCATTTGATGATTTTTCTTGGATGCTGGCTTTTCAGCAGCAGTGTAATCTTACTGTGTTATTCTAATCTCTAGCAGTCTGAGCGCTGAGGGCAGTCTGAGGGGTAGCAGCAGTTTTAGGAGGAAGTTGAGCCCCGCGAGGAATCTCGGTGGTGTTTCTGTCATCCCTCTCCAATGTTGAAATTTCCACACGCTTCATAAAATACGTGGCTTCTCAGTGACTTAGCTAGCTGCTTTGTGTGTTTTCCCTTTCTCTCTCAGATCCGTTATTGGTCAGCAACTTGTTGCCACCATCCAAATGTATTTAACATTATTCTGGGGAAGAAGAGGAGTCAGTATGTTTAAAATGAAAAATGTGTACTAAGCTTTTGGGGCATTTGACAAAGACGGTGAGTGGGAAAAGGTCTCCAGCCTTTTCCCTTTTTCTTTCAGGAAATGTTCCAGTAGATTGATATTCATCCCTCTGAGAATTTAGTTGCTTGTTGTGATAGTGTTCTGGAATGGAGAGAGTGGGTCTGGAGGGGGAGGCTTTCCTTTCGTTTCTAGTGAGAGAAAGCCATCAAGGACCCTGCCTCCTTTCTGGACACACATGCTCAGGCTCACATCACTGTCATGATTTTGACCTTGCACAGGCCTCTTGCACGTTATCTCGCAAGGCAGGTAGTATGGCTCTTAATTCCATTCTTTTAGATGGGGACACTGAGGCCAGGACACTTGCCCAAGATCCCTCTGATATCTTTGTAGGTTGAACCCTACAAAGGGTTCCTGATTTAGTCCTGTGCTTTTTCCTGAAAGACCTGTTTCAGAGATAGTAAATGCTACGTGCTTAATTCACTGCCCTGTTTAAAATCCTGCATGGGCTCCCCACTACCCATGGACTAAAGCCCAAACTCCTTAAAATGGCCTGAATCCCACCACTCACCCTGCCATCTTTCTCACCTCTTAACAGAATCACTTGCTTCCGTGTCTTTGCACCTCCTCTCTCTGCTTGACCGTCCCTTGAACTCCTGCACATTCCTTAGGAGCCACTTGCCTAGAAGCATTGAGGGCAGTTGGAAAAGCACGAGAAGCACTTGTTTGAACAGTCTCTCCTCTCCCCACTCCTCCCTCTTTTGGGGAGTGAGGCCCCCTCTTGTGCTCCTGGAGCCCCACATCAATACCTTTATTCATTGCATCCGTCATGTTGTATTATGGTTGTCCAAGAGTGTTGTGTTGTCTCTTCTCCCCCTGGACTGCAGACTCCTGTTTACCTAACACTTGGTAGGATTCATTTAAATTACCTTTGTGTCTTATAAATCTCTTCTTTCTTCCTATGAATAAACCTCAGTTACCTTTAGAAGCCTAGCATCCTCTGCTTATAATTTGTGTGTGTGTGTGTGTGTGTGTGTGTGTATAAATGTATATGTGTATACAAATACATATATGACTTAGTTTAGAAGTGACAAGGCTAATCAGCTGAATGATGGTAAACTCATACGAGGCTTTGTGGTTTGGAGGCTTCATACATCCTCACTCCGTCTAAAACCCACACTCTGAGGCAGTAGATGCTAGTTCTGGCATTTGACTCTTCGCTGCCAGTCTTAACGTGTGAGGTGGCAGCTATGACATGGGTCCTAATCCTATAGCCCTGGATATATTGTACATTGACATGTTGCAATATGTGATTCTAGTCATTTATGGTTTCTATATTGTTAATGCAATTGACCTAAGTCAGTAATTCCCTTGGTGACAGTCAGAAACCATTGTAACTAATGTAGGTGAACAAGAGGATTTATTTTAAGGATGCAGGTGTGATTCACGGAACTGTGGGCCAAAGGTGTGGCTGGGCCTCAGTAAAGCCTGGGAAACCATGAGAGTCCTGGCCATGGTTGTTTGTCTGGAAGAAGGGACTTTTGTCTCCACATAACCTTTTCATGGTTCTTGTTCTCTGCAAAACAGCTTTTTCTGCTTTACCATACTTGTGATGACCAAATTTACAAAGTTGTAGTTTAAGTAGCCAACTTGGTTAACTTCTTTTAGACCTTCAGCCAAATTAATTTGGGACATAAAATGATTAGCTCTTCAAGGACCACTGTCCATTTCCCAGGCATTTGATGGTGAAGCGGTGGTTCACTCCAGGAACTTGGGGGAGCAGAGAACAGTTACCTGGGGAAAGGGAGTTTTGAGTAGGACAGAATCCTAAAAGGTGTCTCCTGATTGTTTATAGGATGTAAAGAAAGAATTCCACTAACCATTTCAAGAATTGATGTAGATAGTTTTAAGTAGTATAAATTGTCATTAGAAGATGCTACTTCTGCAGACATAATAGTAGGGCTAGTCCTCTCCAAGCTGGCTGCAGTGTTTGAACTGAATTACAAGCACTAGTCAAGATGATCACTAGTTTTCTAACAGCTGATTGAATTTAATGAATAGTTTTGCTGTCTCCTTGGAGAAAGATGGCAGACTTGTCAAAAATAATTGTGCTTTAATTTAGTTCCGTGCCAATGGCAGACAGTGGAAGCTCAATGAGGATTTCTAAATTACCAAAACACTCATAGCATTTCTCTATGCAAGATGCACAACCTAGAGCAATGCATCAGAATCATCTGGGGAGCTTTTTGCAAAACCATGGGCCCAGCTGGATCCCCAGCACTCTGATTCCTTACTCTTGTGGTGAGGTGTGAGTACCTGCAGAGGTGACAAGATCCCCAGATGATGTGACACTCTCCAAGTCTAAGAAGCACTGCCTCTTCGGAAGAACTGGATTTTTGGCATCTTTTGGGATGTAAACTGTAGCCATCTCTAAAATACACCATGGTCAAAATGGGTTCTCTGAGGGGCGCCTGCGTGGCTCAGTCAGTTAAGTGCCTGACTTTGACTCCTGTCATGATCTCAGGGTCCTGGGATTGAGCCCCTTGCATTGGGTTCCTCCGTACTCAGTGGGGAGTCTTCTTGTCCCTCTGCCCCTCCCCCTCCTTGTGCTCACTCTCTTTATCTGAAATAAAAATCTTTTTTAAAAAATGGGTTTTCTGAAACAGCTATGATTTTCTTCTTCAGCTTCAAGATTTCAGTATTCAGTATTTCAGTCTGAATTCACAACTTCAGGAAACTCCTACCACCTAGAGCCTCATGCCAAAGAACAAAACAAAACAAATTCTGATTTTATTTGTTAACAAAGCTGGTTGTGTCGGGTAGAATTTTCCACAGTGAAGATTTGACTGGCTGCATCCCCATGGTGTCATTTAACATGTTTCTCTGTCCCAGTGTTTCTTATAAATTGGTAGATTGATATAGAAACCCAGGCCAATTGAGGATAGTTATTTTGGCAAGACTGCTTAATAGATGGTATGATAGATTGCCTTAGGAGGCCCACCAGGCCTCTCTTTGTTATGTTAACACCCATTTTCGACCTTTCCCAGGTTCCACTAATTCATTAAGGATTGCTAATTATCTTTGAATACCCAAAAAAACAGTGAACCCAACATGAAGGCATTTGAAGATCTTTTCATTGAGAAACAGTGATAAAGAGCCTGGCCTTGATTCCTTATTAGAAGTGATTGTGTCCCATTGCACTGCCTTGGGGTTTTAGGTAATTTGGAATGTTTTCCCATCTGTCTTTATTGCGTCTTGGTATGCTACAGAGTAGATGGATCAGTATTGACTTGACACATTCCTATTTTCCTGTTCTTATCTTCAAGCCCTTGACATATGTCCATTTTCTTTCAAGAACTCATAATCATCTTTTGTTTTTGATCCTTGGTTCTCACTGGAGTAAGAGGGGAGTCATGCTGTGGAATGTCTCCCATTCCCTTTCTGACTCTGTTGGAGCTGCCTTACTTTCTGTGTAACATTTGTTCTTTTAGGTAGGGGGTGCCCATTCCTGCCCCTCCACTGGGGGCAACTAACAGTTGTCAATCCCAGATAGTTTAGTACATTGAACTAATTTGCTGGAATTTTCTGTCTTCCTTTAGTTAAAAATACATTTTTAAAAAGTAGCTTGTCAAATAAACAAAAAATTCCTGACAGTATATGATGTTTTAGTGTGTGTTCTGAAAGCATGACTTTATGTTATTCATTTTGAGCCTTTAAACAAAGAAAAATATTACCATTTGTTCTTCTCTTTTAGGAAATTCACACAAATGAGAAGGAAGTAACAGAGAAGGAAGTAACTCTTCACTTGTTGCCAGGTAACAGTCATGTTAGCTTCGGACCTCATGTGCAACTCAAAGCCAGTGATAAATTATGTCATTCCTAGTACTGCTATATATAAACTCCTTTGTTTTCACCCAGAGAGCATATAATGGGGATGAGTTTGACAAAAATATCAAGGTCTTTAATTCAGTCACTACATACCTAGGTCTGAATATTACAGCATCTGCCAAGAATTTTTCTTGTTTTCCCCTCCACCCAAGCTGATGAAAATAAGCCTGGGAAATTCACCTCCTTCACAAGCAAATTAGGCCTTTTTCATGTCACTATACGTGGATACATCCAGTATTCTGGTCTCCACTCAGGAAAATCCTGGTCCCCCACAGAGCCTCACGTTCCACACGCTCTTCCTGTTGCCGAGGTCTAGCTGCCCTGGACTAGCACAGCCGTCTCGGCCTCCCCGGGCAAGCATTGGTGGCTGGCCTCACCTGTGGTCTCGCGTATGCATCTGAGCAAAAGGACCAGACAGGTTGGGGTTTACTAACCCTGGGGCTGCCACGGCTTTGCTCTGAGGTCATCACTGAGAGTCTGAATTGGTTGGATAGTTTTGAGATGGAAGAGAGACTCTATATCTGAAGTTAAGCTTTAATCATTCCTGAATTCAGAGACAAACTACGTGGTGGTTGTATCCCCTTCCACGGGTGGGGCTGTCCTGGGGGCTGTGCATTCGGTTCTTCTTCAATTTTCTTTTTTCTAATCCCAATAGCTTTTTTTCGTAAGAGTTTTTGGGTGTATTTCCCCAAAGCAATGGAGGCCTCATTCTGGTACTAATGTTTATTGAGAGGATATGAATATGCACAAGTTTCTGACTGATCCACCTTATTTGGTAAATACTGGGATCCTAAAACTTAAAAATATTTCTAAGTTTCAGAGGTGTTTTTTTGTTTGTTTTGTTTTGTTTTTTTTTTTTTTTACTAATAATGGCCGAAACCTTAATCCACATACCACATTGTCCTTCCTTTCCTTGGGTCATAGATCCTGGAACTTTTATTTTTAGTTTAGTGTTACACACATTCTCTCATCCTCTGGATTACCTGAGGTCTATTCTTGATGTGCCGCCTCCATTTCCCAGACTAGACCTTGATTTTTTCCAGCTCCCGCCTCCCGTGGTTTGAGACCCTCTCTGCACACGCAAGCTGATAGCAATGCGCAGCACGCCGGGCTCACAGAGCCGCACGGGATGTCGTATTAGCTGCTGTGTGCTGGTGCCTAGTCGCCAGCGCACAGCCACCACCTGAACCCGGCTTGCCTGGTCTTGGGGAAACACTGTTAGAATGTTTCACGCTAAGAGTTGAAAGCTCAGGAAGCCTTGTTCACGTATCTTCCACCTTGAACTAGTTGAGGCATTTTTTCTGAACTATTTTAAACCCTAACAAGGCCCCGATTCATTGTTTTCTTCGAGCTCGGTGGTCCCTCTAGAGGTTGACCTAGTGACTGAGCCATCTTCCTGTATTTCCTTAGTAATTAACCCCTTGGGAGATGGAAAAATATACCATAATATGCATCCCTTGATAGTCTCAGTGTCTGAAACTCTATTTTCATGTTGAAAGTTAGACCAAGTGAATTTTGAGCCAAAAAGTACATTCAGAGACACTGAAGAAAATATCCAGAGGGAGATTCTAAGGGGAGATGGTTGTCTGTTGAAAGAGAATATTCCTTTTCTTTTTTGTTACAAAATATTTGCACTTGGTTTTTTATATCTTCCATATCCTTCTCCTTTTTCTGCTCTCATCCAGACGTGTAGCCCTCATAAACTTCTCTGTTTCTAGGGAGCAGTGAATGCTTACCTATCCCCAAATCCTAATCTTCTTGACTGTAAAGTCCTTTCTATCTCCAGGAAATACAGCTGCTCGAGCAGGCTGGGCGCCTGCAGATGGAGCAGGAAAGGTGACACACTGAGAGGAAACACCCTCAACTAAGAAAGAGAGGAAACCATTTTTTTCCCACAAACCTCTGACCTCCCTTTTCCTCCCATCCTTGTCTGTGGAGCCAGAATGCATGTGGTCATGCTGCACCTCTGTGTCTGAGAAAGCTGCCTGCCAGCCCTGTGGCTGGGGAGGCACCCTGCTTTCTCTCAGCAGGTCCAGAGTGAGAGATGATGGCCCACTCTCCCCACAAAGCGGGCCTGAGCTCTGTGTTCTAGAGCCTTGCTAATTCCATATAGGGTATCACTTCTGGGGAACGCCTGCTAGGGCCCAAGTAATAGGAACACTGAGGTCTGCGCTTGCAAGTGTAGCTGAGATCATTTCCACGTATTGGACACTTTCCTCATTCACAGCGAGAAGATGGGGAAGTGCCCCATGTGAAGGTGTATCTGAGCCATTTTGGTTTCACTTACCAGCGGTCCCCACTCTGCTTCATCTTCGTGCCTCAGGTTTGCAGCCCCTGCTGTGCTGAAAGTGTAGGCTCTGAAGGGCTGCAGTGTGTCGTGCGTTTGTCTTTCCCATGACGAGAGCTGGGGAAGCTTTTACTGTCACATATTGTATGTTCCCTGAAGACTCTCAGGAGGACTTGCTTTGGTTTTGATCAGGTGAACAGCTGCTTTGTGAAGCCAGCACAGTGCTGAAGTATGTCCAGGAAGATTCCTGTCAGCGTGGGATCTATGGGAAACTTGTCTGCACAGACTTTAAGATTGCTTTCTTGGGCGATGACGAATCGGCACTGGATAATGATGTATGTATGAGCTGCATTTGGCAGAGTTTGAGGGGAGCAGTGCAATTGTGGCCCTGTTGTCTTTTTTCCCAGCTCCTCAGTGACTCTACCCCCCCTCCCCCTACCTGCCAACACATTAAACACAAAGGACAGAAGTCTTCACCACTAGATTGCTCTCTGTCCTCTGGGATCTCTTTTCAGTGGTGGGACCGTTCTAAAATTTCCCTCCAGTGCCTCAGGTTACGCTGGCTTGCATCTGACTTCATAGGTTGACACTGTCAACTTGTTCTTAATTTCTCCTGTATTTTAGCATCGTACGTATCACTCACTGGAATCACATTTCCCCAAATATACTAGTTCCCCATGTTTTCTGTATACTGAGCTGTCCCTCAAATTCAGGAACTGAGCTCGGTAATGAAACTGATACTGAATGCAGCACTTGAATTTGGGTTTACTGTGCCCCAGTCGCAGTGTCCTCGTAAGACTCGTCCCTACTTACGGAGAATGGGCAAGTGGAGTGAGGGAGAGGACAGCCCACGCCATCGGGGGGCGCGCTGTATGTTGATGCAAACTCAGCGGTCCCGGCCCGCCCCTGCTGCCTTGGAGTGTGGTCTTCTGCACTGCTGTCTGCTCGAGTGGCTTGGCTCCTCGTCCTGTCCGAATACAGACCGCACTCACAGTGTTTTCTTCCTAAACCTGCCTTCATGTAGCTGTCACTTACCAGTTTGCAATTGGGTAGAGAAATCCTAACCTCTCCAAGTGATTGTGGCATGGCCAGTTTGCCTGGGAGCAGCCCAGGAATGGCATGTCATGCTTGGGTTTGGAAAAAAAGTGCTTACCAGCTTTCCTCACACACTTCATCATCCCTTTCCTAGAGAATGTGGCCGGCTCCATTTCCCTGTTTGTTTTTTAGAGTGTACACTCAATTTTCCCCACCGTTTTATTGAGATATAATTAACATATAACATCCTATTTACGGAGTATAACGTAATGATTTGATACATGTCTATTGCATAATGATTATTAGAATAAGTTTAGTTAACATCTCTTACCTCATATAGTTACAAATTTGTTTTCCCTATGATGAGAAGATCTTTCTTAGCAACTTTCAGATATATAATACAGTTGTATTAACTATAATCACCAGGCTCTACGTTACATCCCATGATTTGTTTATCATAACTGGAGGTTTGCCCCTTTTGGCCACCTTCACCCATTTCTTCCACCCCCCCTCTGTTTTTCCTACTGTGCAATTGGAAAATGGTGATTTACTCTGCCTATAAATGTTTAATAGGGCACAGAAAGGAGTCACAGTTGTTTCCTTTTGAATCTTTTAGGAAACCCAATTTAAGAATGAGGTTATAGGAGAAAATGACATCACACTCCACTGTGTTGATCAGATTTATGGAGGTAAGTATCTTTTCCCCTGGGGTGTTGCCAGCCTTTGGAAGTATGGTTGATAATGATAATATTTCTATGGTCCTTTACAGTTTACTAAAATTTCTTTACATATTTGTTTAAATCAGTTTTATGGATGAGAAAATTGAGATGTAAGGTGGCTTATTCGGGGCCACTTAGCTGGAGGAGCTTGCACTTGAATTTGGAACCTGTTCTAATACTCTGCAGTGCCATTATATGCTAGAGCATACTTGTGACTGTCCGTGTGAGGTGTGTAGGCTTTACTCTAAAGACTAATCTGATAAAGGTTTGTTGCACTGTACTCTGAGTCTTTTCTGCTAAGGGTCAAGCCTCTCTGTGCTTCAGTTCTATATTTTGGCAGTAAGGGCTTTTTCAGAAATCATTCAGTAGCCATTTATGATGATCCCAACACGGGTAGGTGCTGCGCGGTCCAAATTCCGGGGCAGGGAGGGAAGTGTCAGGAGATGCCCCTGGCCATAAAGCCAGGACTCAACTGTCTTGACAGCATATCCCTAGTGACCCCCTTCCATCTTTTGTAATCTTAGCTTCTGGAGTCAGTCCATTTTGAGCTTGTCCAGAGGAATGAAGAACGCTGCCCATTGTCAGAGAGCCGGGGCCCCTGATGACAGTTACTTCGAAGACAGCACCTTTCCTCTCACTTTTGAGAGGTGTGAATAGTCTACCTGTTTCCTCATCATTAACTTTTTGCCTTATAACATGATTTCCCTTCTTGATTTCATCATCGATGTGTAGTGTTTGATGAGAAAAAGAAACCTCTCTTTGGACAACTGAAGAAATACCCTGAGAAACTCATCATCCACTGCAAAGACCTGCGAGTGTTCCACTTTGGTCTGAGGTACACAAAAGAAGAGGAAGTCAAAAGGGTAACTAGTTGCATGTATTTGTAGGTTTTCTTTCCCATCAGGTATCACCACTAACTCTTTTTGCTTATATTGCACAAAGGTGGAGTGGGTGCATTTCACTCCGTAAAGTTGAAATTGGCTTATAATCACATGCTTTGATTAGAATTGAGAGAGAATTTGGTGAAGCATGCCTGCGTATTATGTTGGCACATGCTACCTTTAATCCTAGAGTTCGTGATGGTTTTATTCCTGGAGCCTCTAAAGAGTGGGAGGTGATAAACCAGGGTCAGGAGGCAAGCTGCTTCTCCCACCTCTGACAGTCTTTCCAAAAAGTAGTAGCAGAGACCCCCAAGTCCTGGAACGAAGGAGTTCATATCTGGGAAGTTTTGTAGAAGTATGTGGGAGGAGGAAGAGGTACATGGGGCAGACAGGCACAGCCGAGTTACCAAATGAGGCCTGTGATTTTGGACACTAAGGAAACTTAATCTGGTTGCTGCAGCAAATCAGAATATGTAACTAGAAGAACTGGTTACAGTTGTCACTGTAACTTCTACAATTCTGTTACTAAGGTATTGAAGGTCTCAAACTTGCCACTGTCCTGGTAAATCCGTCAGGGGAAAGGTGGAGAGGGGCCAGCTCACCTGCTGTTCTGGCTACAGTTGAGTTATACACAGTTACGGGTAACTCCTTGGTTTTCTTTCAGGGATTGTGGTAGTTCAGTTAGAATAATAAACATGACCTCTGAAACAAATAATGCAATATATGTTAAGAAAAAAAAAAAAAGGTAGCAGGAGGGGAAGAATGAAGGGGGGGAAATTGGAGGGGTAGGCGAACCATGAGAGACGATGGACTCTGAAAAACAAACTGAGGGTTCTAGAGGGGAGGGGCGTGGGAGGATGGGTTAGCCTGGTGATGGGTATTGAGGAGGGCACGTTCTGCATGGAGCACTGGGTGTTATACGCAAACAATGAATCATGGAACACTACATCAAAAACGATGTAATGTATGGGGATTAACATAACAATAAAAAAATTTTAAAAAAAGAAAGAATAATAAACATGACTCCGGTATCTATTCTTTTCTTTTTTTTTTTTAAAGATTTTATTTATTTATTTGACAGAGAGAGACACAGCGAGAGAGGGAACACAAGCAGGGGGAGTGGGAGAGGGAGAAGCAGGCTCCCCGCGGAGCAGGGAGCCCAATGCGGGACTCGATCCCAGGACCCCGGGACCATGACCTGAGCCGAAGGCAGTCGCTCAACCAACTGAGCCACCCAGGCGCCCTCCGGTATCTATTCTGAGCAGGAAAAAAGCGGTGGATATAGGGAAAGTCCCTGAGAAGCCAGAAACTTTATTTTGAACGATGGTTTTAGCTATCTGTCCAAACATACTTTTGTTTGGAAACTTCAAACAAAAAGCACAATGGATTGATTTCTTTTTCTAACCTTCTAGAAGAAGGTCTTAAAGTCCATAAGTGGATCAGAATAGCTAAGTGTCTTGGTTATTGTCTGATATTAGCCCTATGTCTCTGATGTGTCAGATTTTTAGAGTATCTGAATATGGCACTTAAGTTTTTGTAACACCTTGTTTTTGATAAATGAGACTATGTTTTAAAAATTTCCCTAGAGGGGCGCCTGGGTGGCTCAGTTGGTTAAGCGACTGCCTTCGGCTCAGGTCATGATCCTGGGGTCCCGGGATCGAGTCCCGCATCGGGCTCTCTGCTCAGCAGGGAGTCTGCTTCTCCCTCTGACCCTCCTCCCTCTCATGCTCTCTGTCTCTCATTCTCTCTCTCGCAAATAAATAAAATCTTAAAAAAAAAAAAAAATTTTCCCTAGAAATCGGGCGCCAGGGTGGTTGGGCACCTGACTTTTGACTTTGGCTCAGGTCATGATCTCAGGGTTATGAAATCGAGCCCCACATTGGGCTCCACACTGAGTCTGCTTAAGACTCTCTCTCCCTTCCCCTACTGCCCCCCTACCCCCGCCACGCATGTGCTCTCACTCTCTCAAATGAATGGATAAATTAAAAAAATTTTTTTTAATTTCCCTAGAAATTCAGGTGTACCAGGGTGCTCAGTCAGTTGGGCATCCAACTCTTGGTTTCAGGTCATGGTCTCAGGGTCGTGGGATTGAGCCCTGCCTCGGGCTCTGTGCTTGGCTCAGTGTCTGTTTGGGATTTTTTCCCCTCCCTCTCCGCTCCTTTCCCTGTTCTCTCTCTCTCTCAAATAAACAAACAAACAAATAAATAAATAAATAGTATCTTTAAAGTTTTCCCTAGAAATTCAAAGCTCTTAGAAACCTAACAAAATTGTTAACATTCTGTTTACTTGGCGTTATTCAGAAGGTAACATCATAGAGACCTCAGAGTTTGTGTAATGCCCATAGGAGCCTATTAGCATGACTGAAAACCTAGATAGCTCAGTGTTTATCTGCCAAAAGTATGACTATACCCATTGTTTGGTTCTTTTCTAGATTGTCAGTGGCATAATTCATCATACCCAGGCTCCTAAACTGCTTAAAAGATTATTTCTGTTTTCCTATGCAGCTGCTGCACAAAACAATACAGGTGAGTGTCTTCTGGGTTCTAATTTGCAGGTAGGCAGACCCTTTAAATTCCTACATGAAACTAGCAAGCAAAAACCCATCCATGAGTTTCTTTTTCCTCTTTCCTAGCAATTGATTGCCTCTTGCTTGGGTAAGTCATTCAAGTTCCTTAAAAAAAAAAAAAAAGTTTCTATTTTTTTTTCCTGTGATCTTTATTGCTTTAACTTATCTTTTAGGTTTATTTGCTTTTTTGTGAGGGATTATTGGTTTGGTTGTTTCTTACGAAAGATAAAATCAACATTATAACGGGGAATGTGAGAGTAGAGAAACAAAATTCAGACAAGTTTAAAATAATCCTGTTTGTTCCTGGGTTTTTTTTTCCCCACTTTAATATATTTGATTTCATTTCATAATACTTTAGAGAATGTCTTGCATTCTAGAAAGCCTTTAAACAACCAGAACATGCTCTGGGGAAATGGAACAGTTGTACATAAGAGAGCACATCAGAAAGCAAATATGCTTACATAACTTAAATTCTAAATGTTTTCCATTCAGTTCACTGAAAAAGGGAGCAGTCTTTTAACTCAGAAACATTGGTCATTTGAATTAGCTATTAATAATGCCTAGCATTGTACAATGTTTCCACAGATGTCTGTCTGTCTTCTCTCCATCTCTCTCCTTGGTCTGTTTCCTCACTCTGCCGGTCAGTCTTTTTTTTTTTTTTTTTTTTTTAATTGTTATGTTAATCACCATACATTACATCATTAGTTTTTGATGTAGTGTTCCATGATTGTTTGTGCATAACACCCAGTGCTCCATGCAGAACGTGCCCTCTTTAATACCCATCACCAGGCTAACCCATCCTCCCACCCCCCTCCCCTCTAGAACCCTCAGTTTGTTTATCAGAGTCCATTGTCTCTCATGGTTCGTCTCCCCCTCCGATTTCCCCCCCTTCATTCTTCCCCTCCTGCTATCTTCTTTTTTTTTTCCTTAACATATATTGCATTATTTGTTTCAGAGGTACAGATCTGTGATTCAACAGTCTTGCACAATTCACAGTGCTTACCAGAGCACATACCCTCCCCAGTGTCTATCACCCAGTCACCCCATCCCTCCCCCCCACCCCCCACTCCAGCAACCCTCAGTTTGTTTCCTGAGATTAAGAATTCCTCGTATCAGTGAGGTCATATGATACATGTCTTCCTCTGTTTGACTTATTTCGCTCAGCATAATACCCTCCAGTTCCATCCACATCGTTGCAAATGGCAAGATCTCATTCCTTTTGATTCTGCCGGTCAATCTTAACATCAGGCTGATGTTGAGTGACCCTGTGTGCTATGTGCTTTTCGTTAGGGACGTGGCATGTTAGCTTAACAGCATACATGGGGCCTTCTGGAGTGTACAGTTGAACTGCTCATTTGTTCAACATTTTTGAATGCTTGCTGTGCGTCAGGACTTGGGGATGGAAGTGAGTAGGACTAAATCCCTGTCCTTTACGAGCATCAAGTCTAAGCAGAGACAGCTGAGAGCTGTGTCCTCTGGTGGAGGGGCCGGTCACACTGCAGGCGGTGCGGGGAGGCTGTCACAGGGCACAGGCTGTGCTGGAGCCGATAGTGGAGGATGTGGGGGTGTCTGGTGGGCACAGAGGAGTATTTTAGGCAGCGGGATCAGCATGTGCAGAGATGTAGATATCTGAGAGAGCAGGTTGCATTTTGGGGACTATGGTGACTTAGTAGAAAAGCTGTGAGTTTTGGAGTCTGTCCCACTTGAGTTCATGTCCTTGCCCAGCTGCTCAGTAGCTGTGTGATCCTGGGGATGACACTAAATTTTGGGGGCATGTGTTTTCTCATTATAAAAACAGCAGTGTTAAAGCCTCGGTTGAAGTGTTGTGAAGATTATAAATTGTTAAATCCATGGCACGTAGGGTACAGTCAATTAAGTGAGGGTTAATTGAAAGTGTAACTGCATATTATTCAGGGTGGATTATTTCAGAGAATTACACTAAGTATAATGCTTAGCTCTAGTGTTAGACTGAACATAAAATTAGTTCCTTAATTCAGTAAGTTCATCTTTGAATGACGGATCTTTTCACTGTAGCTACACGTGCAAGTGCTGAGTAACTGGCTTACAATAGCTTGGTGCAATATGAGCTACACAAAATATGACTGATTTATGAATTACTATAATTTATGTAAACATCTACTGGATTTACATTTGAAAAATCATACTGTATTTTTAGGAATTCTGCCTCTTCCTTATATCCTGACTCTTGGTCCAGACTCAGTATAGGATAGTTTCTTGGCTCCCCAAGACTATGTTGATCTGTGTTCCAACACTTAACCTTGATTGACTCTGGCAGTTTCTTCACCAAGTGGTGTTTTTGGTTTTTTTTTTTTTGTGCCACAAGGCCCAGGATATGTGGCATCTTTTATTCTATTTTCCATCTTTTTTTTTTTTTTAATTCTCCTTCCAACCCCCATTTTTTGAGAAGTAAATGTTATAACTGATGGATGCTAATTGAACCAGTTATCTTTTGCGTTTAGTAGGGGTTTGTAGAGGTGGGTGCTTTGCAGCCTGAACATCTTCAGTTAGTTTCTGGCTTAATAATTCACAAAATATGCTTTGGCTGAAAGGTCCTGAATACTGTGACGTGGCATTTTAGGGAAGGACTTATCTGTGTTGCTAAAAGAATTATCTACTCTTGAATAGGAGTCTTACTATTATTTGTGTCTATGGGGAAATTTTTTTGGTGTTTATTACTTTATGGAAATCCTTTACAGCTGCTTGGGTTTGGATTTCAATTCTGCCATTGCCTAGCTCTGTGACCTTAGGCAAGTTTCTTGACCTTTCTCTACCACATCTGTAAAATGGAGGAATTAATATTACCTACCCTGTAGGATTATGAAGATTGAGTTAATAAAATGTAGTATGCTCAGAACAGTACCTGGCACATACTAAGTGCTATATAAGCTTAACCGCTGTTTTTGTCATTATTATTATTATCGTTTGTACTACAATCTGGTTTTATTTTAATAAAATGGCATGGGGGAGTTTTATCAAACACTGTTTTCCCCAAAATGCTTGGGGGTTTTTTTGTGGTTTTTTTTTTTGAAATGCACAAGGGCTTGAACTGATGTGTGTAAATAGCTGAGACTGTTTTGGTGCATGACACCCAGTGGTCTGTGGCTTAGGAGAGGACCAAGGACACATCTGCTGGGCTGCAAGCGTAGTGCTCCTGGACATTTCCCCCGAATGCAGGGTGAGGGGCAGAAGTCTCCGTGACCATGGTGCAGTTCCTGACTAGCAAGCCCTAACCCTCACCACAGCTGTCTGATCTGGTGATGGCCGTTAGTAACTATGTCACACTGGAAAATCCTCTTGTTGGCAATGCATCTGCAAATTGAAGGAGGATTTACATTCAGGGATCTGACATGCTATTCAAATGAGTTTGCCATCTTATGCACATATTGGTAGGGCTAAAAATATTTTATTATTTTAGCATTTGTGCCAAGCCTGTCTTCTAGTGTTTCACAGGATCTTTCATGTTATATAAATTATCTTATGGTCAGATGACTGAAAATGGAGCTATAAATTACTTTTGCAAGGAGTGGAACAAGAACACCTCCTTTCCTCCAGTATAAAAAGACCCTTCGTCATAATTTTGAGTTAATGACAAAAAAAAAGGAACAACGTTAGGATTAAGCAGTGAACTTGCTGTGCTTGGATAAAAATGGGCTTAGTGAACAAAATTGGGGCTTACGGATCCACTTTCACGTCATTAAAATACTGTACTTCACGACAAGACTTTCTTTTTAAATTTGTTTTGCTAGCCACCGATCCCAAGAACCATACTGTAATGTTTGACACACTTAAGGACTGGTGTTGGGAATTGGAGCGGACCAAAGGCAATGTCAAGTACAAAGCAGTGAGTGTCAATGAAGGCTATAAAGTCGGTGAAAGGTAAGCATTCAGTGCTCTGTTGTTTTTTTTTTTAACAGCTTTATTGAGATTGAATTCACATGCCATACAATTCACACATTTGAAGTACACAGTATTTTGAAATCTATTCACAGGGTTGGGCAACCATCACCACAGTCAATTTTAGAATGTTTTCATCAGCCCCAGAAGAAACCTCATACCCCGCTTAGTAGTTGCTCCCCATGTACCCTCAGCACCCCCAGCCTTAGGCAACCCCTTATCTACTTTCTGTCTCCATAGTTTGCTTATTCTCAAGATTTCATATAAATGGAATCCGATAATAAGTGGTCTTTATGCTTGGCTTCTTCACTTAGCATAATATTGTCAAGGCTCATCCATGTTGTAGCATGTAGCAGCATTCCATTATTTTTTATTGCTGAATAATATTCCATGGTATGGATAGACCACATTTTATTTATCCATTCATCAGTTGACAGGCTATTATGAATAATGCTGCTATGAACATGTGTTTACAAGGTTTTAGGTTTCCAGTTCCGTGTGTGTGTGTGTGTGTGTGTGTGTGTATTCCTAGGATAGAATTGCTGGGTCATATGATAACTCTGTGTTTAACTGTCTGAGGAACTGCCAGACTGTTTTCCACAGTGGCTGTACCATTTACACTCCCATCAGCAGCATAGGAGGGGTCCACATTTTCCATGTCGATACAGTGCTTAAGAAACCCTTAAGATGGGGGCGCCTGGGTGGCTCAGTTGGTTAAGCGACTGCCTTCGGCTCAGGTCATGATCCTGGAGTCCCGGGATCGAGTCCCGCATCGGGCTCCCTGCTCGGCAGGGAGTCTGCTTCACCCTCTGACCCTATCCCCTCTCATGTGTTCTTTGTCTCTCATTCTCTCTCTCTCTCTCAAATAAATAAAATCTTTAAAAAAAAAAAAAAAAAAAAGAAACCCTTAAGATGTCCCTTAAAACATTCAAAAGTGAATTTGTGTCTTTTTTTCCCCCATTGTATGTAGAGTCTAAGTATAAAACTATTAGAGGCATTTTTGAATTTATATTGTATATTTGCTTTCCTTTTACTTAGCACTTCATTTATTCAATAAAAATCTTTGGCAGGGCACCTGGGTGGCACAGTTGGTTAGGCGTGTGACTCTTGGTTTTGGCTCAGGTCATGATCTTGGTGGTGTGCGATTGAGCCCCGTGTTAGTCTCTGCTCAGTGGGGAACCTGCTTCTCTCTCTCCCCCTCTCTCCTTCCCCCTGTGTGCACACTCTTTCTCTCTCTCTCTCTCTTAAATAAATGGGTAAATCTTTAAAAAAAATCTTTGGCCACTGTGCACCAGGTAGTGTCCTGGCTACTAGAGATACAGCAGTAAACAAAGAGCCTAAAAATTCCTACCCTCCTGGAACTTTCACGCTAGTGGGAGGAAAACAGTGATAGAATAAATGAGTGATTGGAGAGTATTAAAAGGTAGTAAGTACTATGGAGAAAAATAGATCACGGGGGCTAGGGAGTGCTGGAGGTGTTGTTGGGGGGGGGTTGGTCAGGCACAGGGGACAGTAGAGGCAAAGACCTGAGGTGGAGTGTTGTCTGGCTTCTGTGAGGGAACAGCAAGGAGCCCAGGGGCTGGTGAGTAGCCATCAACGGACAGAGTAGTAGGGGGTGAGGTCAGGGCAGAGGGAGGTGGTTGGATGGTGAAGGGGAGGAGGCTTTCAGCATTTATCGTGCAGTGAGGAAAAGTTTGAGCAGAGGCATGATGTGATCTGACCTACATTTTTTTTTTTTTATTTTATTTAAAAAAATATGTATTTATTTGACAGAGAGAGTGAGAGAGCACAAGCAGGGGGAACAGTAGAGGGAGCGGGAGAAGCAGGCTCCCTGCCGAGCACGGGGCCTGATGTGGGGCTTGATCTTGATCCTAGGACCCTGCGGTCATGACCTGAGCCGAAGGCAGATGCTTAACCATCTGAGCCACTCAGGCGCCCCTGACCTACATTTTTAAAGGGTGACTCTGCATAATACTTTTTTAAAGATTTATTTGAGAGCGCGCACGTGCACAAGCAGGAGAAGCAGAGGGAAAGGGAGAATCTCAGGCAGACTCCCCACAGAGCGCTGAGCCCAACGCAAGGCTTGATCTCACAACCCTGAGATCATGACCTGAGCCAAAACCAAGAGTTGGACGCTTAACTGCGCTACCCAGGCACCCCTGCATAATTCTTTTTTAGAAGCTTGAATCTTCTCATTTTGGAACATACTCTCCACTATCCTGCTAGCAATTTCATAAAATTTGTATTTCTTTTTAAAAGAGATTTTATTTATTTATTTGACAGAGCACAAGCAGGGGGAGCGGCAGGCAGAGGGAGAGGGAGAAGCAGACTCCCTGTTGAGCAAGAAGCCCGATGCGGGGCTTGATCCTGATGTGGGGCTCGATCCCAGGACCCTAGGATCATGACCTGAGCTGAAGGCAGGTGCTTAACCAACTGAGCCACCCAGGCGTCCCCAATCTCAAACATTTATAAACTTAGCTCTCCTGACACAGCACAATCCGGAATGACAGTGGGGAGGGGCCTGCAGAGCAAATGGCATGGCCCCATTCTTGCCCTTCTCCTCCTCCCCCTCTTTCCAGTCACAGAGCTTGAAAAGGGAAAGCTAGCTCTTGCTCAGAAAGAGGTTAGAAACCCCTGCACCGGGGCACCTGGGTGGCTCAGTTGGTTAAGCAGCTGCCTTCGGCTCAGGTCATGGTTCCAGGGTCCTGGGATCGAGCCCCACATCGGGCTCCCTGCTTGGCGGGAAGCCTGCTTCTCCCTCTCCAACTCCCCCTGCTTGTGTTCCCTCTCTACCTGTCTCTGTCAATTAAATAAATAAATAAAATCTTCAAAAAAAAAAAAAAAAAGAAACCCCTGCACCTAGGAGGTGATAGTTTGTAATATGATGTTGACACTGATAGAAGGCATCCCCATTCCGATTGTTTTTATTTTTTTTAAGATTTTATTTATTTATTTGACAGAGACACAGCGAGAGAGGGAACACAAGCGGGGGGAGGAGGGAGAGGGAAAAGCAGGCTTCCCGCCGAGTAGGGAGCCCGATGCAGGGCTCGATCCCAGAACCCTGGGATCATGACCTGAGCCGAAGGCAGATGCTTAACATCTGAGCCACCCAGGCGCCCCCGAGAATTGTTTTTAAAAAATCCTGCCACAGGGGCACCTGAGTGGCTCAGTCGTTAAGTGTCTGCCTTCGGCTCAGGTCATGATCCCAGCGTCCTGGGATCGAGCTCCGCATCGGGCTCCCTGCTCCACGGGAAGACTGCTTCTCCCTCTCCCACTCCCCCACTTGTGTTCCTGCTCTCGCTATCTCTCTCTCTGTCAAATAAATAAAATCTTAAAAAAAAAAAAAATCCTGCCACATCCTGATTAAATTCATTGGTATTTGTTTAGTTGTCAGCATCAAAAATACACCTGGTAGAAAAGTCAGGTGGGGAAGGAGGTTTTAAAGGTTTATTTATTTCAGAGAGAGCACAAGTGTGAGTGAGTGTGTGAGGGGGAGAGAATCTTCGAGCAGACACTCCACTGAGTGTGGAGCCTGAAGTGGGGCTCGATCCCAGGACCCATTGGATCATGACCCGAGCTGAAACAAGAATCAAATGCCCAACCGACTGAGCTTTACCCAGGTGCCCCGTGGGAAGGAAGCTTTTTTTTTTTTTTAATCTTTTTTTTTTTAATTTTTTTTTATTTATTCATCTGAGAGAGAATGAGAGAGAGAGAGGATGAGAGGGGGGAGGGTCAGAGGGAGAAGCAGACTCCCTGCCGAGCAGGGAGCCCGATGCGGGACTCGATCCCGGGACTCCAGGATCACGACCTGAGCCGAAGGCAGTCGCTTAACCAACTGAGCCACCCAGGCACCCGGGAAGGAAGCTTTTATTTTTTTTAATTTTTAATTTTTTTAAAGATTTTATTTATTTATTTGACAGAGACACAGCGAGAGAGGGAACACAAGCAGGGGGAGTGGGAGAGGGAGAAGCAGGCCTCCTGCTGAGCAGGGAGCCCGATGCGGGACTCGATCCCGGGACTCCAGGATCATGACCTGAGCTGAAGGCAGACACTTAACGACTGAGCCACCCAGGCGCCCCGGAGGGAAGCTTTTAATTAGTGGTTAGCAGGGAAAATGGAGCTTTGGCAAGATTTTAGTTCTGGGAGCACTCAGCGCAAACACATACCCCTTGGACAGCCCCAGCCGTACATACAATCTCCCACCCTTTTCTGCCCTGTGGAGAAGATACAGGGCAAGCTGTGCTTTGTTTCTCACCTGGACCACTGTGGTGCTGCCTACGTGGTCTCCACCACCCACTGTGGTCCCCCAGCATCCATTCTCCGTATCTCCAAGGCCTTTCATGGTTTGACTCCTGCCTGACTCCCTCTCTACCCCCCTCTGACCATACTGACCCCCTACCATAGGCCTTGCCCGTGCGGTCTCCTGTCTGGGATGCTCCTTTTGCTTTTTAGCAGCACAAGGGTAGTTGCTTCCATCTTGTCAGATCTTAGCTCAGGTGTTACTCTCGTAGGGAGCCTGCCCAAGACTAGGTCAGGTCTCAGTGAGAGCTTTCTTTGTGCTCATGCCTCTCCTCACAGCACTTCCTACGATTGTGAGTTTATTTTTATCTGTGTCACCATTTGAAAATGTTTGTTTCTGCAACCTGTCAGCTCGGGAGAAACAAGGACACTTTTTTTTTTTTTTTTAATCATTATATCCTCAGTACCAAGTATAGTGCCTGGTTTTTTTTTTGTTTGTTTGTTTTAAAGCTTTTATTTATTTATTTGACAGAGAGCACAAGTAGGCAGAGTGGCAGGCAGAGGGAGAGGGAGAGGGAGAAGCAGGCTCTCCACCGAGCAGGGAGCCAGACACCGGGCTCGATCGCAGGACCCCAGGATCATGACCTGAGCCAAAGGCAGCCGCTTAACCGACTGAGCCACCCTGGCGCCCTTAGTGCCTGGTTTTAAGAGGCATCAATAAATAGGAAACAGAATGAGTAAAGTAGTGAAAGCCCTTCCTCCAGTGGTTAGCAGGCACTCCAGTCAGTTTGGATAATAGGAAACTGAGCATCTACTTCATCTTCTCCCCAGGTCAGAGCTGGCTATTCCAATACCTGTCTTCCCTCTCCTGAAAAGCCTTTTTTCTCTCATCCTGCCTCCCTGTCAAGGTTTCAGAAGGTCCATTACCCTGTGGGTGTGTGTCACACAGGCCTGTGAACTGACGCTGCCCCAGGAAGACATTGCTGCCCCGCTGTTGTCCCTCTGAGGGTTTCCTCACCCTAACGAAGGCTGGGGCTGAGTGGATCGGACAGCTTTCAATAATAAAGTCGTCCTGTAGTTGGAAAGGCTGTTGACTTTGTGTTTGAAAGCTCGTCCTGATGAGTAGAATGACTGCTCTCCAAGGAGGGAGGGTTAGCTGTTTGTGGACATTGGGAGCCTCACAGCAGAGAGCCTGTGGAACCTCCTAGTAGTTTGCTGGGACAAGAGAGGACATCTCAGACTCCTCTCACTGGTGCAGAGCTGTCCATCTCTGTGCAGCCTCCTTTCTGGAGCCAATGCATGCTGCATATGCTAATATACTTGGTTCTGACATTTGCCCCCTTTGATGGAAGACTCTTTGTGAGAGAAAATTAACTGGCTAACCAACATGGTAAAAAAATTCAACCTCGCTAGTACTAGAAGGGGATGACATGCAAATTTTTAAAAAACCTGGTGGCCCCAGCTCTGCAGAATGAGCTGAGACTCAGGGCTAACCCACCCCGCAGATAGCTCTCGTGTGAAGGCGGAGAAACTGTGGTCTGTTGGTGCGTTGCTGGCGCAGTGCTACTTCCTCAGTGACCCGGGGATTAACATGCAGACTCTGATTCAGTGGGTCCGCGGTTGAGCTGGAGAAATGTGCTGTCCAGGTGATGCTGCTGCATGCTTGGAGTAGCGGGATCGTCTAGAACAACACCTATCATCCTCCTTGTACACTGGGGAGCTTTTGAGCTTTGGATTTTTTTCTTCAAGCTTCTGATACTTAATAGTTTTGTGGGGGGAGCCTGGACATAGGGAGGTTTTTAATCTTCCCGTGTGATTTTAATGGGCAGCCTGAGTTCATTGATGTGTGAAGAGATTTTGGGGGGGGGGGGTTGTTTACGTCAGTGATAACACCTGAAGAAGGGATACCTTACCACCTGTGCATTAAAACAGTTTTGATGGTTTGAAGTATCTTGTCCTTGACCAGTGTTTTCCAAACCTGGTTCTATGTTAAAATATAATGAGAGGTTTTTTTCTTTTTAATTACCTTTAAGATTTTTTTAATGGAAAATTTCAAGCAGTATAAAAGAAAAGGGAATATGATGGATTCCCTTTTATCCATCACCCCCCCTTCAACAATTATTAACTCATGCCTAATCCTATTTTCTCTGTGCTTCCCTTGGATTATTTTGAAATAAATCCCAGACCTCATCACATTTCATTCATGAGTTTTTTGGTATACATCTCTAACAATTAAGAACTCTTTTTATAGATGTAACCATAAAACCATTATCACACTTTTCAAATTTAACATTAAAACCCTCAGTCAGGGGCGCCTGGGTGGCTCAGTTGGTTAAGCGACTGCCTTCGGCTCAGGTCATGATCTGGAGTCCCTGGATCGAGTCCCGCATCGGGCTCCCTGCTCAGCAAGGAGCCTGCTTCTCCCTCTAACCCTCCCCCCGTCATGTACTCTCTCTCTCTCTCTCATTCTCGCTCTCTCAAATAAATAAATCTTAAAAAAAAAAATAAATAAATAAAATAATAAAACCCTCAGTCAGTATCATTCAGTAACATAAGTCAGTGTTCAAAAATTTCCCCATTGTTTTTATAAATTTTAGAACAATTTTTCATCTTTTTATCCGTTTTATCATTAATGAAGACTCAGTGAGATTGATATCTTGCAATTGATTGATAGGTTTCTCAAGTCTCTTAATCTGTAGATCTTCCCACCATTTGTTTTCTTGCAATTTATTTGAAGAAACCAGGCTATTTTCTGATTGTTTCCTATAATCTGGATTTTGCTGGTGTTTAAAATGGTGCTCCATTCCCTATGGATTTATTAGATCTAGGGACTTGATCACATTCAAATTCCAACCTCTTCAACTTAGAAAGTCCATCTGTCCCATCACCTGATACTTACAGGACTGACTTCAAACATGCAGCATGCATACAGGTGCCATCCATTATTTTCCATTGTAGTTCTTACACCATAGACACCTTCTTACTTCCCGTGAGGCTTTATTTCAAGCTTTTTGAGTGAAAGGGTTTTCCAGCTCCACAGTGATGCAACTTAGCAGGTTTCTTATTAATAGGAACCTGCATTTGCTAACTAGAGGAAGAGGTGGTATCTCTGTGTATCTCCGATCTTTGCAACTCTGAAAACCTAACTTTCCCACTTCCTACCACTTAGCAGGTCATTTTTAGAACCTAAATTTTCTCATATAGAAACTGAAGCCATACTGGTTGGGTTCAGGTCATAGCTCTACTAATGCTTACTAGCTGTATAATCTGTGAAGGGCCTTACTGGTGCTGTCTCAGTTTCTCTATCTGTGAAATGGAATAATAGTAGTACATACCTCATAGAGTTGTCAGGATAAAGTGAATAATTTGTGTTAAGGAATTTAAGTCTGGCCTACAGGAAGCAGTTAAATGTTTGTTGTCAGAATGCTTGATAAAATATCTAGGCAGCAGTCATTGTAATTATTGGTTTTTATATTAGCTGACTGAAAACATGGGTGCTTAATTGCCACTGTGTGATGAGAAAGAGCACTCCCAATTTTGGAATTCATATACTTGTAGGTATCATACATTCCAGTCCCCTCATTTCATGGATGAGGAAACAGACCCAGAGAAGTGGGGCAGCTTACTTAGGGTCACACAGAATCAGAGGAAGAGCTAGGATTTGAACCGAGAGTCCCAGCTGATTTGGCTGGAGATCGTTTATCTGCACTGGTTCTTCTTAAGAGGGAAATAAGGTTCGTGTCCTTACCACTGTGTTTCACTTCCTCAGTTCATTAAAGTTGAGCCTTCATATTCAGTGAATTACTCCAGTATTAAAACTGATGACATCTCTTTCTTCTAGATTGCCAGCATACTTTGTTGTCCCCACCCCTCTTCCTGAAGAGGACGTGCGATGCTTTCAGGGTCGCGGCATACCAGTGAGTACATCTGGAAACCCTAATAGCCATGGGTTGCTCATCAGCCCATTCTGGCAGATTATTCTATTTAAAGCCCTTGGCTTTGGTCCTCCATCCAAAAGGGATCCAGAAATATCTCAGGAGCTCACTAAAAGAGTCTCTCAGACATGAGGCTCCCTGGGACAGCTCTGAAGTTTTCACAGATGCAATAGAGTTTTTAGCAGAAACATCTTAGAGATTGAAGAGGATTACAGATCTGCCTAGTGTTGAAAGCCAGCCTGATTTTGCACCTGAAATCATTTTGAGGCTGAGTCCCCCACTCGAAGGGTAGTAGGGTTTAAGATTCTTTTTGGCCCCACTATTAATTTTTGAGTGCATGTGGCCATTTTTTCTCCCAGAGACAATATGGAGAGTTTACTTAGTTTTCACAGAATAGACTGGGATGGGAGCCATATTAATGTGTTACTAATCAAAGAAAGCAAAGCTCTGGCAGTTACTCCAGTTTCTAATTGGTGGTTGGGAGTTGCCAAGCCTTCAGGGAATTTAGTAAGGAATGAGAATTACAAATAAATGCTGTACTGTGCACATGGCTTGTTCACGAAAAAGGTCACTCCTGGATGGGAGGCAAGATGTTTAATCAGGGTCACATGTAGGTCCCATGTAGGCAGAGCAGGTAATGAGCTTGGCCCTTGCAGTGAACCAGAGACCATCCACCTGAGTTAAGGGTGAGGCTGCTTTTCTCTGCCAGCCGGTTTGTGCCATGTGGGAATTTGGGCCTGGTCTTGCCAGATATCCTGATTTCTCAGGAGAAGCCAGAGATAGGGATTTTTATGTGAGTTGTGACTTTCCCCAATTTCTAAATGTATGCAACTGATTCAGATGTTTAAAAAACAGGTCTTTGGGCTAGAGTTGGCTCATGTCCCACTAGTTTGTAACCTTTGATTGAGAGCAGAGGTTCTCATACTTTCTGATCTCAACACTCTATAGTCTAAAAGGTTATTGAGGATTTCAAAGACTTTTTTGTTTATGTGGATTATATTATTTGATATTTGCCATATGAAAAATTAAAACAAAAAATTTTAGTTTATTTTAGCAATAAACTTACTACATGTTAGTGTAAATAGCATATTTTTGTGAAAAATAACTATTGTTCAAAACAAACAAAAACATAGAAGAGCAGTGTTTTACATTTTTAAAAATAGAAGACCACTGGATTCTTAAATCTACCTCTTTCATTCAGTCTGTTGTAGTATGTTAGGGTTTGGTTGACGTATGGGAAGAAAATCCATCCTCACACAGATCCATATTTGGGAAAGGGAGGAATAGTTATTCACCTTTTCAGATAATTCAGAATATTATTCTTTGATGGTGCACCAAAAAAATGAGAAGTGGTGGTTTCATCAAGGTTAATTGCAATAAGGAATCTGAAAACCTAATCAATGAATTTTTCATTCTTTGCTAAATTAAAATCCATGGGGTCTGTTTTGTACTTGGAATAGATCTTAAAACATGCCATGTTTTTTTTTTTAAGATTTTATTTATTTGACAGAGAGACAGCGAGAGAGGGAACACAAGCAGGGGGAGTGGGAGAGGGAGAAGCAGGCTTCCCGCTGAGCAGGGAGCCCAATATGGGGCTTGATCCCAGAACCCTGAGATCATGACCTAAGCCAAAGGCAGATGCTTAACAACTGAGCCACCCCGGCGCCCAAAACATGCATGATTTTATGACCTTATATAGTGGTCTTTTGGAAAGTGTTGGTTCATGGGGTTAATACAGATCGTCCAAATATTAGCATGTTTCCTTATATAAAAATCACACTCATTAACATCACGCTTGTCTCATCAGAAAAATCTGTATGTTTTGAGAAGCTGTCTAGGTAGAGGCAGAGATTAGTTTTCCAACAGTTCTAATTTTTGCATGAAACTTCAATTTTTATCATTTACAACAATTTGTCAGTTGTGTTCCTTGGAGTGATAGGGTCACTTCATTCTTTTTTGTTTTGTTTTGAGGATGAACACCTGCCACATACCAAAGTCTGAATACCCAGTGTTTGACTCTCACTCATTCTTTCAATTCCATGAAGAGAGCAGCTAGTTCACCTCTCACCTCAGTCCCATAAGTGCTTTTCCTCAAGATCTATACACTGTATTTCAGTGCTTATTTCCCACTTCATCACGTTAATTATAAAGCTTGTTAATATTAAATATCAATCTGTAATGGCCAAGATTAATAAAACTAGTAATTTTTAGTCCTGCATTAAGAACATTCTCAAGTAGAACATTTCTTTTTTCTGTGAGCATGTGGCTATGAAGAATACAGTGGTGACCAGTGCCATCTGGGAGCGGTGCCCTGAGTGGTCCGAAAGCACCCACACTTTTACCCACCAGGGCTTTGGCACCGTCCGTGCAAATGTCAGCACAGTGAAGAGGACAAGTTAACTCTTAGTATTATTCTCAGGCCACCTGAAAGGGTCTTGGGAACCCCCCCCCCATCTGTAGACTACATTCTGAGAATCACTGTTTTCGAACAATGAAGATGAGGGTCTTCATTCTTTAACCTTTCAGAGAGGGATTGAGGAAAAGAGGGTGAGCTCTGTGGGAAGAAATAAAGATGAATGGTCTACACATGTGCGAATAGGCTGCCTTTCCATCCAGCATTGAAATTTGGATACTGTGTTCTAGCCAGGCCTTGAGGCAGAGAAGTAGAAAATGTTCTGATGAGATGGGAGTGGGGAGCCAGCAACATAACTTCTTGGTAGAAACAGGAAGGTGTTCTCACTTTTTTTAGATCTGTCCTGAAAGTTGTTAGTGGAGTTTGCATGAATGGACAACAGAAGAATATTATACAAGATGGAATTGACACATTTACCCAGGGAACACAGAGCTCTCCATACCCATAACATAAAATTTACCGTTAGTGGCATTTATTGTATTTACAGTGTTGTGCAACCATTACCACTTTCCAGTTCCAGAACATTTCCGTATCTCCATCCTTTTTTTTTTTACCCTGACTTTTCAGCTAGTGTGTTTATTCTTGCCTTATTTTCAGTGAAGACCTGCATCATTTGTAGGTTCAGTCATACCCTTGCGGCCATTCTAGCGACCTTGGCCTCCTCTACCCTCTGCTGTTCTCCAGCCCCTGAGTATTGATCTTTTTTGGCTGTGGGGTTAGTGAACATTGCTAAAGATTATTCAAACCGAACAGCAGAGTGTTACTGAATGGGATACGGAAAAGCCATATGTCACCTTGCCTCAGTTGGGCCTTTCTTCTGCTCAGCAGTCTGTTGTTTAACTCCTTTTAGATCCTGTATCATTCTTCCCTAGGGCTGGTATAAGCCATTTTTTCATTCTCTTTAAGTTTGTAATTCCATTCTTAATTTTTGTACTGAGAGACGATGTTTCCCCTACTTCTGTGGGATTGTGGACAACCCTCGACAAGACCTCCCTCGGCTTTCCCCTTCACCTCCTGTTGGTTTTTCTCCGTGCTCCTGTGTCCTTCTCCTGAGTCTAAACAGCTGCCTGGCTTTTGATCTCATCTGCCCTTGCTTTTTCAGGAGCCTGCTTCCATCAGCCTTCCCCTTCCCCGTGGATCTTTCCCGGTGTTCCGCTCTACTTGAAGGCACACTCAAGCCTCCCCTGACCTGAAGAAGCCCCTCGTTAAGAGTTAGGCTACTGTCTTGTTCTCCCTCCCAGTACTGACAAACATCTTTAAAGACTCTGTACTAATTTTCCCTCCTTGACTCTGTCCTCATTTCTTCTTGCACTGTGACTTTTACCCCCTACTCTGCGATGGACCCTCCAGAAGTCAGCGGGCCTTGTGCATCCCCCCCCCCATACCAGCACTGTCCCCTCCCGTACCAACACTGCCCCCCCAGTATCAGCACTCCCCCCCAAGTACCAGCACTCCCTGTACCAGCACTGCCCCGCCCCAGTACCAGCACTCCCCCATACCAGCACTGCAGGTTTGACACTGATTATGGTCTTGACCTTTTTTCTGTCTAAATTCTTGACTTGCTTTGGACACACTGTGCTTTCTCGGTCCTCTAACTTCCTTAATAGTTCCTTCCTTCTTACACTGCTTTCTAGCGTCCAGTTGTAGATGTTCCCGTAAAGCTCTGTCTTGGGCTCTGTTAAGAAAGATAACCTTAAGCTGTATCAGATAGTGAATAATTTTCCCTCTCCCTTTTAAAAGTTAAACAGGATTAACAAGCAGTGATTCTCGTCTCTTGTCAAGACATATACTACGACACCAGACAGAAATTATACATATCACAATAAGAGAAGACCGGCTTTTTGTTAATTTCCAGTGAGAAGTCTGTCTTTGACCAAGAATTTTGCTTGTTTTCTGTTTATTTTTTCAAATAGAGAATAGTAAGGGAATTGCCTCAGATGAGATGAGACAGGTATGGTTGTGCCCTCAAAAGAAAATGAGTTATTAATGGCTGAATATCAACAAGAGCCAACCCTTTCTGCCCTAGGAGAAGAGAGAAAAAGAGATAAAGGACACATAATTTCTTAGAACCTGTCACCTAGGGGCACCTGGGTGGCTCAGTCGTTAAACATCTGCCTTCGGCTCAGGTCATGATCCCAGGGTACTGGGATCGAGCCAGCCCCGCATCGGGCTCCCTGCTTGACGGGGAGCCTGCTTCTCCCTCTCCCACTCCCCCTGCTTGTGTTCCCTCTCTCGCTGTGTCTCTCTCTGTCAAATAAATAAATAAAATCTTTAGGAAAAAAAAAAGAACCTGTCACCTAGTCATAGCTAAGAGTGTCTGTCCCTTTTATCCAAGTGAGCTGCACCCAACTAGGGGGACAGGATTGCTTGGGCATTCACAATGCCCGCCACCCTTGGCAGAGGGATAGAAACTGTATGCTGGTTTCTGTATGTTGCTTAGCATGACATTGGAAAAGGGAGGGGGAGGACAGCAAAGGGCCCTTCGATTTGTCTCGGTGTCTTAACACCTCCAACCTCATTTTGAATCTTAAAGAGTCCAAGTACGGCTTGGCCCTGAGAAGGGGAGTCATTGCTTTTTGGCATTTCCTGAAACAGTTCTGTGTTCCTCTGCCCTCGCTACCTGGGTGGGCTTTCATCTCTTCCATGTCTGCTGGCAGCCAGCCGCCATGTCCACAACCTCAGTCCGGCCTTCCCCTCCTAAACTTGTAACCCTCATCTAATGTGTCTTCTGGATATCTGCACACAGGTCCTAATATAACCAGCACCGATTCTGTCCTCTTCCCCTGAAACCCCAAACCAGTTGTGCCTCCTGGCTTTCTAAGTGTAGTGCAGAGTATCACCTGGACTGTGTGCTGATCTTCAACCTCATGGCCCCGGAGTCTGCTGCTAGCATGGCCAGTGTATGGTTTATACCATTCATTGCAGATGAGAAGCAAAAAGGTACCATCTCCACGAGGCAGAATTGTAAAAGGCATCTTCTTCCTCTAGGTTTGCCTTTGAGCTAAGGCTGAGGATGCGGTCAGCAGAGCAGTGGCCAGCCTCTTGCCATTCTCAACCCTTAACCAGGCCTTTATGGGGCTCAAAGTCCACAGCTGTACTCACCTGCCCCAACCAGCCTTGCCCTCTCCTCCATGCCGGGCTGTGCTGGCAGATTACTTTGTCCCAAGATCAGTCCTTGTTTCCGTTCGTTCCTGCAAAACGGAGCAAACAAGCAGAAGTTCCCACTGCAGCCAGAAAAGTGCCTGAACCTGTCACGGTCGTTCATATGATTTCTTCTTGTCTCGCCTTCCCTTTGTTGTTCCTTGAAATTCTCTTCTTTCGTTTACCACATTCTACCTTTTACTATGTTTGTAAATGTATTTCCCTTTTGAGACAAGTGTAAACTCCTTGAAGGTAGACCCATATCTTAGCCCTCTTCACATTGTCTGTACGTACTGCACTGCTTTGCATGTACAGGTCTTCTGCGTTGAATGGCCAGCTTCCCTTCTTTCTAGTGTGAACTTCCTCTGGTGACAGGAGCTGCCCCCTGCTTGCCATCTGGCCTTTCATCAGAATGCTGCAACTTGGAGTGCAGCTTGAGGAGGTTATTTGGTCTCTCCAAGCCTCAGTTTCTTGGTGTTGATGGGGTTAAGGATCTTACTGTCTCGGAGCGTGACTGTATCAAATGGGTTAATTGACGTAAGATGCCTGACCGAGTAAGCTGCGCTCTCGTGAGATCTGTGCTGGTGATGGTGGTGACACCATCGTCTCAGCTCCCAGCACTAAAGGCAAGTCAAAAGGTATATACGTTAGACCATAAGCAAGGCTGCGTGTGACTAGACCTGGTTTGGTTTGGTTTGTTTTGAGACTAAGTCTGTGTTTTTCACTTACGTAACTACTCTTTGGCTTAACAAAGGTGAATACATCCAGCCATTTCTTACTAAGTGAAACACTTCCCTGTATGAATTTAAATGCTAAGCTTACCTGTCTCCTCCTGGATTGTGTATGTTATATCTGAAAAATCTTTTTTCCCCCTTTGCAGATATGGTGTTGGTCCTGCCATAATGGATGTGCCCTTTTGAAAATGTCAGCACTGCCCAAAGAACAGGATGATGGCCTTTTACAAATCCAAAAGAGCTTCTTGGATGGGTCAGTACTGTTCTACATTTTGTTATTGGTTAGTTCAGTTCTTGTTTTCCCAGATGCAGGGGAACAGTTCTTAATAGTATGTTCACTCCTGTTCACCTGCTGACAGCTTAGTGCTCGGGAATACCACATAGAGTGATTGGCTTTTGTTTGTTTTTAAGATCTTATTTATTTATTTGAGAGAGAGCGAGCGAGCACAAGTGGGAGAGGGGCAGAGGGAGAGAGAGAAGCAGACTCCCCACTGAGCAGGGAGCCCAATGCGGGGCTCAATTCCGGGGCTCCGGGATCATGACCTGAGCCGAAGGCAGATGCCTAATGGGCTGAGCCACCCAGGTGCCCCTAGAGTGATTGTTTTTAATCACTTTGAAAGGAGGGGCAGGTGGCTGGCTCGGTTGGTAGAGGATGCCCCTCCTGATCTCGGGGTTGTGAGTTCGAGCCCCACACTGGGAGTAGAGATTACTGAAAAAAATACACTTAAAAAGTTAACTTTGAAAGGAGTCAGTATAACATATCATAGAAAATGTCAACTGCGTTGTTTTTAGAGATGCATGCCTGAGTATTTAGGGGGAAGTGGCACGAAGGCCCTAGTGTCGACAGTGGTCAAATCCGGGTCATGGCCTATGTCACTGTCCTTTAACAAATGTTTGAAATTTTTCAAAATGTGGGGGGAAAAACCCAAAGTGGATGAATTAAAAACAGAAAAGCTTTGAAGTTACACTGCCTTGGGTTCAAATCATGGCTCTGTCAGTTTACAATCTTCATACTCTTAGGCTGGGAAGTGCCCCATGCGCTTGCATTCCCACCTCAGCTGACCAGGGACAGCAGTCCTGTGGTGGTTACTTCATTGGCAGGGATTAAACGGGAAGATCCTATGCACATAGATCTGGGCACATAGTAAGTGCTCAGGGCAAATAAGCTATTTCTAATTCACATCTGTTCTTCTAATCTCACGTTACTTTTTGATACCTAGAATTTACAAGACCATCCACAGGCCACCCTATGAAATTGTTAAAACCGAAGACCTGTCCAGCAACTTCCTGTCGCTTCAGGACATCCAGACTGCATACTCTAAATTTAAACAGCTCTTTCTGATAGGTGAGAAGAATGCTGAGTAAAAACTTCCTGTCACATGGGGAAAGACATGCCATGTGGATCAGGTGAAAGTTGGTGCCTTTTCCCTGGGCTCAGTTTGCACCAGAGGCTCGTGGCCAGGAGGGTTGATGTGGAGCGGAGGGGCAGGCTGGTGGTCAAGGGGCCGTGTCGTTGCCACGTCTGCCCCCCATTTTTCTCCAGTCTTATGCCCCACTGCCCCTTCTCGTGGCCGTGAACACAGGCCCACCCCTCCTCTTCTCTCCATCCCCAGCACCCCGGTTGCCCGGAGGGGAACACTGGGGCTTCTCCCTTTAAAAGTTGTGGGATTGTGCAATGCCAGTATTCGCTGGCTCTCTCACGGTGATTTATAAAACGAATGGTCTGTTTGTTCTTGTTGGTCACTTGTTGAATGGACCTCCCTGCCCCCACCCCAAGTGGAAATCTCTTTTTTCCCTTCAGATTAAGCAGAAATGGACAAGTAGGAAATGAAATATGCACATCCCAGCCTCCCCCACTTCCCTGCCTAGGCTGCCCACTATGAACAATTTAGGACTGGAATCCAGTTTGACCAGCTCAGTTATCTATTCTCCTCGTTCTTCAGTGAGTCTGTATTACCATCTGAGATTGGTCACACTTACATGTAGTTTTTTCTAACATGGACTTTTTAGCCTAGCAAATTCCAGCTAATTTAGGATTCATTCATTCAGCCGACGTTTCTGGAGTTTTCATTAAATGCTCTGACTATGGAGGCATTTGAGATAAAGATGAATATGACACCCGGGGACATAGCAGTGTCCGCCTCTAAGGAGAACACACTATGTTGTGTGTTACAAAATAGATTTATAAAAAGCAGGGATCTGGTGGAGAGTGATACATTGCACTAGTTTATTGTTTTTTGTTTTTTTTGCAGATCTTAAATTTTGGGTATTCTACACGTTCAGAGAAACTTCTCTAGTAACAAACAATAGAAATGATCCCTGAACGTATAGTCTTCACTGCACTAGTTGTTACAGGACTGTGATTCTACACTTCCATTCTCATCTTCCAGGACTCGCAGAAGTGTCTGCCTTGTCACTGATTTGAGTTTGCAACTTTGACATGTCTTAGATGTCCATGAAACGCAGGGTTCTCTGTATCAAGGTGGGTGGAGGGGATGGTGTAGGAGTGAGCAAGGAAAATGTGTTTGTATATTTAGGATTCCAACGGAAGCCATATCTCCCCCTTTGGGCTGCCTGGCATCAGGATGTATCCTGTTGCATTTTCCACTACTAGGAACAGTATAGCCTGGGTCCTGACCATTTCTGCCTAAAACATGTTACTCTCCTTGTTGAGTTAAAAGGTGGACTGTGACTTTATATACATACCGTGGGGCACTTTTTATTTGAGCAATAAAAATCTAAAAAATCCATTTCTGATTGCCACCCCCTTCCAGGGGCTTATATAAGTTCAAACACCATTTCAGCTGAGGTCTGGAAATGTCCTTTGCTTAAAAGCAGAGATCTGTGCTTGGAGTCTGCAGTCCAGATCCAGGACTGACTGTCTGAACAGCATGCTTGAGTAGCACAGCTTTTTGGTGGCAGACGTGGAAGAGAACAGTGACCTGACTTCTTACTCTTTTTTCTTTTTTCAGATAATAGTACCGAATTTTGGGACACAGATATAAAATGGTTTTCTCTGTTGGAAAGCAGCAGCTGGCTTGACATAATCAGGTATTTCAAGCCATTCTTTTGCTCATGAATTTTATAGTTCTCCAATTCAAAGTAGTAAAGCAAATTGACAAATAACTGTTATATTTCACAGTTAACTGTTCTTTAGATCACATGTTTCTTCAGGGCTCAGCTGGATTTTACATGTTATGTATTCTGTGCACATTTGATCTGAATTTATAGACATGATACCTGCTCAGAAGGAGATCTCTGTAGGCTCTAGACTAGGCATTGAAAGACTGCAGAAAAGGGGGCGCGGCAACCCAAGATCCTAACTGAGGTGGTAGTGCTGGCCTCCAAGCAGGAACCAGGGTTGCGAAGGGGAGGGATGCTGACTTTTTACTGAATACCTTTTTGAATTCTGTGTCTCGTGTGTATATTACCTATTTAAAAATTATTGCGGGGCGTGATCCCAGGACCCTGGGATCATAACCTGAGCTAAAGGCAGCCACCCAGGTGTCCCCCCTTTTTTTTCCATAACTTTATGATTAATCTCAATTAGTTATTTTGGGTTTTGGAATTAGGTCGAGAGCCTCAGAGACAGAATTACATTCCCTTCCCTACTTCATATATTGAATAGCTCCTCTCTGTTGCCGTTAAGTAAAGGAGAGGGCAAAGGGGAGGCACAGAACAGAAATGATGATCAGGGGTGCGAGAATAGCTCCGGCGGCCCTAGGATTCTTTTGAGAAAAGAGAAGAATTCTTCCCTTGACCTGGCACGTCATCTCTCTCAGTTCTGCCGGTGAGGTTTGTGGCACGGAGCCTCAGCCCTCCAAACACTTATTAACAAATATGTTTTGAAGAGCCTGCCACGTGTCCCACAGTTTGAATGTATAATTGCAAACAGGGATAAATGTCATACAGAGAAGAAGCCTTCGTTATGTGGAGTGGGCAGAGAACAAATGAAGAGTCGGCCGAGGGAGGCACCCCTGCAGGCAGGGAACGGCATTGGGAAGCCCCTAGTTATAAGTAGAGAACAGTCGAAGCTGTAAAAGGAATAGTGTGTACAGAGACCGACAAAAGGGATTTCTGGGCATATTGGATCTTGTCAGCCACACTGACACATTTGGCAAGTGACCTTGAATTAAATGATGTGGGCGTGCGGCACAGTTTCTGACGTGGGCATTGGTGGGTCTTACTAGGACTCGCGGGCCAGACTCAGGCATGAGTTCTCAATAAGAGTTTGTAGTTTAGAAATCACCTAGGTTTTAACATCAGTTTTGGGATTCCTTTCTGAAATTTTTCAATTTCTAATTGGCAAATGAGTGTGTTGCAGTATCTGAATAGTGTAAATGGTAATTGCTGCTTTTCTGGAGGATTTCAAGTGGAAAAACAAATGAGATCGTCTCCCTTAGTCTTCAGTTTTCTGGCTCTAAACTTCTCATCGTTTTGATACCAACCTCAGGAACTAACGCCCCTTTCTTGTCTCTTTCCAATTTAGACGTTGCCTGAAAAAAGCAATAGAGATTACAGAATGTCTAGAAGCACAAAACATGAACGTTCTTCTTTTAGGTAATATATTTAAAGCACAAGGAGTGGTTTTCATTTTCCTTCAGTCGAGATTCAGTTTCTGTATACACAGCTTCATGGAATTGGAATTGTCTTATAAAAGGAGTGAGCTAGTGTAGAAATCCTTCCCATTCTTTTCTACTCTGACCTTGGAATCCTTTGCGTTTGAGGTCAGTGTTACAGTTTAAAAATAAATCCTTCGTTTAGAACTTGGCAGACCTATTTGCAGCCCAAGAAGGAACTGTTTGGTATCTTCACCAAAGGTCATATTTCCAATGCTTTGGATTTTGTTTTATATTAACTCAACTTGGTTAAAGTTAAAACCTTTTGATAATTCCTTTTATATAAAAGAAACCCATGGGTGGTTTAATTGTTATTTTTATACCTTTGTGTTTGAGAACCTTGTGCAGTTGCTGTAGAAACTTTGTGTCATGATTTCCTTTTCCTCAGTGGGCTTAACTTGCTATACTTGCCAACAGGACATACACATTCAGAATGTGTAAAAACAGGTGTAAACCGCTTTTTTAAAAAGGTGCTGAAATTGATTAGATCTCAGCTAAAATATTATGTTTGCTATTTAGAGTATTTTAAACTTCTTATAGACCTGTACCTCCAATTCAGTAGATCATCTCATGCTTTCATACCCTGAAGCTTTTACCATTGCTCTGATGCACTCCGTGATTGCTGAAATTTAGCCTCTGTGGGCAGGCTGGAAAATGTGTCTGCCTGGGGCTTCTGTACCACCTGATATTGGCTCAGTGACTTCAATTTGAATACATTTATTGAGCACCTGCCATGTGCAGAGCTGTATACTTCTGCCTTTTAGAAGTTTACAGCCTAATGAGAGAGTTGACCTGAGCACGTTATTGAAAAAGACCTTACCACCAATGGCAGAACAGAGTACTGACTAACTGATGCAAAGGAGGAGGGATAGATTGGGGTCTGAGAGATGGCAGTAAGGGCCAGACGGCAGTAGTCAGAGTCGCATAAAGGAAATCTGCATCTTTGGCTGAGTTGTGAGAAGTCACTTGCTCCCAGATGGACCACTGAGTTGTCTTCTTTGAAATCTCCTTTTCTAGCCACTCTTCCTGTTACCCACACATATACTATTAATATCCTTCAGATGCAAGGAGGAAGATTCCCTTAAAAATGAGACTTGATAGCACTCCATAGACGAAACCGTTTCTCTGAAACACATGCGCTCCCGTAGTTGAGACCTGTGTCCTGGGAGAGAAGCAGAAGCCCAAGCGTAAGCCTGGGCCGCAGTGCCTCACCGTGACAGGGTCAGAATGAGAATTTTCTACCTACTGAGAATTCATTCTCAAGTTTCTCCAACTGCACCGCTACTAGCACTGTCATCCCCGTGGGCATTTTTAAATAACAGCTTGGTTGCACTTCTTTGTAAAGGGGAAACCACGGGGATGTAGACCCTCCCTTTTAGGATCTGAAAACTCTTAAGCCAAATGTGTGGGTGGTGATGTATGCTTTTATTAGCTGTGAGTCCTGAATGCTAAACAAGTGTGTGCACTGAATTTTCATGGTACAGGTTTTGTACGGTGCGCTTCGGGGGTGGCGGGGGGTGGGCGCGTGGAAGTAGCCCGAGGGGAGTTTCTCCTCCAGGCTAGGCAGAGCACCTCTGTGCTCTCCGACAGAAACAGAAAGCGCTGTGGAGCTGGGAATAAGGGGGTCCAGAGAGATTACACTTCCTCCAAAGCAGAGGGAGTGCAGGAAAGGAGCTCCGAGGTGAGTCTGAGAAGCAGCCGAGCCTGGGAACAGTGGGTCCAGTGAGGACTTTTGCTTTGACACAGCAGCCGGAAGAGGTTTGAAGTTGGTCTGTGAAGCCCTGCAGGCCGCCATCTTGTGTATGGTTCTGTCCTCGTTGTGTGGCACGCCGGGATGCCCATGTGCTGACAGTGGACTTGGAATGCCATGTTTTATTCATTCAGTAAGCAAATCCCTGCTTAGGGCCAGAGTATTCGGGAACCTGTATGAGACTGGCCAGAAGCAGTTTGTCCCTCGGTCTGAAAACACTACCTTGTTTCCCATTGGCATCTTTGGCTTCAGAGAAGTAGGGCTTGACTGTCAGTTAGCAAGCCGACTTTGGTTTGGGGAACCCTGTTACTAACTGTGCAAGTGCTCTGGGCGGCTTTAAATAACTTCACATTCTCCTGCCTCTTTGTATTGGCACTGGGGCCCCTCCCAGAGGAGAACGCTTCCGACCTCTGCTGCCTCCTTTCCTCTCTGGTGCAAGTGATGATGGACCCCCACTGCAGAACCAGGGTTGGTTTCCAGAGCCTCGTCCAAAAGGAGTGGATCATGGGTGGGCACTGTTTCCTGGATCGCTGCAACCACCTCCGTCAGAGTGACAAAGAGGAGGTGAGTGTCCTCATTGCAGAAGTCCCCGATCTCTTACTTAATACCTGTCTTCAGATGGAGGGTTACTGCTTGCTAAGTGCATGCCGATGGGCTTGTTAGGAAGGCTGTGTTCACTTCACCATTTGATGACTCTGAATGCTTTAAATGGTATCGAAGCCCTTCCCCAAGGAAAGGGGTTAGTGTGTTCAGATCCTTCTCTTATAAATTGTGTACACTAAGGGTGGATATTTATTTCATGATGGGAATAACATTGATTTGTTGTAAAACTTAAAAATTAATTCAGAGAGACTCCTACAATTTCTGTTAAGTTAATCTTTGCAAAAAAAAAAAAAAGAATATCCAGTATACAAGTTAGTTACATAAAATGCGTAATAACACATAAATCTTTTCAGAATAAAGCATGGGGTTATGTTAATGCCATCCATTACCAGGACCTTATCGGCAGTATATGTCCGCTGTGTCACAACCTCTTCTGCTCCTGGCCGTGTGAATTGCTCCCCGCGTGGACCCTGAATTCAGGCGTAGGCGAGTTAGCATTGTAGTTAGTTAGCCCCCAAACTGTGGTGTACTTGTCTCAGCTGCAGCTGTGTAAACTACTTTGGCTACATTATTAATGACTATGGAAGGTAAAATGAAAACAGGTGAACTTTCTTTAGTTAAATCACCTGTGAAGTTCCCGTATTCTAGGAGGAGGACTCATGGCTGTTCTTACTCCAGATAATAAATGTGGCTGTGTCGGGTGGGGAGCGGTTTTATGGAATTAACAGAAATTGTAGGAGTCTCTCCAAATTCCTGGAAGACCCCAGCTTCTCTAGCTAGGCTTGAGGTTTCTTTCAGGCCTGGTCTCTGCTTGTCTGTGTCCCATCAAGCTGAATGGAAATCACCATTTTCAGTCTTAGAATGGACTTTGCCTTTCTGAGGACTTTGCAGGTTAATGGGACTCAAATAACATGATGGGCAGAGAGAGCTGATACTTTGTGGGGAAGAGTATGTTTTGGCTATCTTGAGAAAGTGAGGACGGACAGGTACCGTGGGGGCGGGGGGGGGGGGCCGGGAATAAGTCCAAGAGCAGATCCAGTCTGATCTGCTTTCATCCAGCCTTTGGAGAAGTCAACCAAACTTTCTGAACCCATTTTCCTGCCTCTACAATAAGGTTCAGATATTTTCCATTCTATTTAAATGATACATTGAGCAGAAAATAAGGCATGAAATAAAGTTGCTATATAGGGGCACCTGGGTGGCTCAGTCGATTAAGCGTCTGCCTTTGGCTTGGGTCATGATCCCGGGGTCCTGGGATGGAGCCCCCATTGGGCACCCTGCTCAGCGGGGAGTCTGCTGCTCCCCCTGCTTGTGCTCTCTGTCAAATAAATAAATAGTCTTTAAGAAAAAAAAGTTGCTATATAAACATTTCTTAACATTTCAACATCAACATGTTGGTTTTTCTTTTTTCTTCTATTACGTGACTACTTTCATTTCTTGAAGTTTTAAAATTTATTTTATTTTAAAAATTTTTAAATTATTTTTATTAAAGATTTATTTATTTGGGGGTTGGGAGCAGAGGGAAAAGGAGTGAGTATCCCAAGCAGACTCGCACCAAACAGGGAGCCCAACATGGGGCTTGATCCCACGACCCTGAGATCAGGATGTGAGCCGAAACTAAGAGTCAGTTGCTTAACCGAGCCACCCAGGTGCCACAGTTTCTTAAATCTTTAAAATTATATTTTTATACTTGAGTTTACTTGACACCATATTGGAGTTTTAAAGGAAAATGGGGTTGTTTGCTTTGTGATATTATGGATGCAGCCCTGCATTTGGTTCAAGAGCTGGATTCCCAACTCCTGTCTCTCTTCTGGGCTGCATGGGGTGTGGGCAGCCTCCGTAAGGGAGAGGCCGTGACATGGTTTGTCTTCCCCTGGCAGGGTCACTGGCTCAGAAGGATAAACACTTTGTGAATGATAAAGCACACTAGAAACCTCTCTCTGCCTTTAAAGGGCTTGCCTCTAGGTAGCTAATAAAGGAGGCTATCAGTTAAAAAAATCTGTACACTTGTGAAAAAAGCTTAGAAACTCACCTTTGCTGCTTCTGCCTTCTTTCCCGGCCTCTTTCTCTTCTGCACCGTCATTGTGGGGGCGGAAAAAGGAATGTTGACAAAATTCAAAATATTGAGTACAAGTAAGAAGAATGGAACTCTTTGGAGGGGAGATAACAATTTCACTTAATTGGGATTCAAAGTGTTCCCTATCATCAAAATCAGTTGCAAATGCTCATCTGTCAGTGCTTGATCAGTAATGAGATTTTACATATTTCATCTTTGAAATGTCTTTTACACAGATCAGTACTGCCAAATACGGATATTAATTTACAGGCATGTGACTTCAGTTGAGCATATTCATTGCTTGGAATAGGATGGAGTCTACTGTTGTTTCTCAGAGATTATAGTGCCCAGAAGTGGTTATTCCACAACTGTTGAGATGGCTGCCCCTGAACTCGGGACAGCTGGCCTTGGCCTTTCAGTGCCTGCTCAGTAACATGTATCTTGTTTTCACATAGGTTCCTGTGTTCCTGCTTTTCTTGGATTGCGTCTGGCAGCTGGTGCACCAGCATCCCCCAGCATTTGATTTCACAGAGACTTACCTGACTGTTTTGTCAGATAGTTTGTACATACCTATTTTTAGCACCTTCTTCTTCAATTCGCCTCATCAAAAAGATATTAACATGGTAAGAGTCCCTCTTAGGAACCTGTGCATTAAAGAAGCCCTGACTCACAAGTAGGTTGCAATAATTTTAATGTAAAGAATATTTGTGTAACAATATACTGGGCCCTGTTTTTTTTGTTTGTTTTTTTTTAAAGATTTTATTTATTTATTTGACAGAGAGAGACAGTGAGAGAGGGAACACAAGCAGGCAGAGCGGGAGAGGGAGAAGCAGGCTCCCCGCTGAACAGAGAGCCCGATGCGGGGCTCGATCCCAGGACTCTGGGATCATGATCTGAGCCGAAGGCAGACGTTTAACGACTGAGCCACCTAGGCGCCCCATACTGGGCACTGTTTTGAGTGCTTTCTGGGTATTGATAATTCTCATAGCACCCTGTGGGGTCCGCATTCTTACCCTGAGATGCTGAGGCGCTGAGAGGATGAGTAATTGGCCCAAGGCCACACAGTAAATATTGGAGCTGGGAGAGCAAGTGTTGGAGGTGAGGAATTAAGCAAAATTAAAAGTTGTTCTTTGTAAAGACGGTCAGCCTTCTCTTCCATTTACTTGATGCCTGGAGTTACTCTGAAGAAAATGGAGATGAGGCAGAGTAGGGAAACTAGGCTTTTACTTTCCATCTTAAACTCCTTTAGTCTCCCTTGAGGCCTCGCTCCTGGGAGTTTTTACTTTCTAACCACGCTGAATGCCTTTGGCCGGCTTTTCTGCTGGCCTCCGGGTTTGCCTGAGCTGGCTCTTTGGGAGTGGTTTTAGCAAATTCCTCAGTGGAGTAGGGGCACAGAACGTGGTCTTCCAGTCACACAGCCCGAGTTCCAGAGCCCAGCCCATTGCTCACCAGCTTCAAGAGCTCAGGCAGTTCACCTCAGTTTTCTGAGCCTCAGCTTCCTCAAATATAAAATGTGAGAAATAGTGACCTCACAAGGGTTGTGGTGAAAGTGCCCATCAGTGGGTGGCACGTGGGCCACTGGAAAATAAGGTGCCCGTCTTCCCTCTCTCCCTTCCCACCCAAAGCCTTAAGTGAACAACCACTGACAGCTGCAGCCTTTAAAAAGGAGGACCCGGGCGCCTGGGTGGCTCAGATGGTTAAGCGACTGCCTTCGGCTCAGGTCATGATCCCAGGGTCCTGGGATCGAGTCCCACATCGGGCTCCCGGCTCAGCGGGGAGCCTGCTTCTCCCTCTGACCCTCTCCCCTCTCATGCTGTTTCTCTCTCGCTCGCTCTCTAAAAAATAAAAAATAAATAAAAAAAAAAAGGAGGACCCATGAGTGGTCGGTCTCCGGGCAGGGCAGGAGCACCCTTCCTGGTGCGGGTCTCTCGGCGTTGTGTGCTTGCTCTCCCCAGCCCTCCCTGGGAGCCGTCGTGACCTGTGCTTGTTTTGGCAGGGTAGGGAAAGCCAAGATACACAAAGCAAGCCTTTGAATCTGCTCACCGTGTGGGATTGGTCTGTACAGTTCGAATCTAAAGCCCAGATGTTGCTCAAAAACCCTCTTTATGTGGAAAAGCCAAAACTGGACAAAGGCCAGCGGAAAGGAACGCATTTGAAAGTAAGATGACCACATGTCTAACCCCTTTCATCTGCCCAGAGATCCCCATGTATGTCAGGAGGAAAGTCACATCCTGTAACTTTACATTCTGTAAACAGCCTGCACAGTCCAGGTTTGTGGTGGGCAAACTGTCAGGGCCCGTGAGACTCACTTGCTATCAGCCTTTGCCCTGATGAGACACGGCCATCTGCTCAGCGTCACTGGGGAGGTTACTGCCAACACAGCTGTGCCGCATGGGCTCGTGTGTACCCCCTACCTGAGTGTGGTTAGGGCAGAAGGAGCATTAATTGTGAGGTTTGCTCTGTCTGTACCGGCTCATGTCTTCCGTAGCAAGACCTCTCTTCGTTGAGCTGTGTCTACAGTCGATTCTGTTAAGGGCCGCACAGTCTCCAGCCCAGCTCCTGCTCTCGACCGATGGAGCGCGGCTGTGTCCCGGTATTTACAAAAAGAGGCATCGGGCCTGATCGGCTATGGGCTGTCCTTTGCTCACCTGTGCTATAAACCAAAACTGTCAAATTATTTGAATATCCCTTCAGATATTTGTTACTCATTGTACTAGTTATTAAAACCCCCAAGTTCCCTAGATGATCAGTGATTTCCATGCCATCTCCTAACTCTGTCTCCTGGCCTGGAATTTCCCCCCACCACACCCCACAAAGGGGAAAGCGGTAGTGATGAATCCCAGGTCAGTGTGTGTCTCTGCCTTCTCCACGGCCCTTCTTCTGATCCCACCTGCTGTCCAGGGAGCCTGGCCAGTCCTGGTGCGGGAGGTACTCCGTTCTGAAGAGGCTTGGGGGCCCGGTGAGCCGCAGCCCGCTCTTGCAGAAGATACCAGCTGCTGAACAACTTCGAACTGTCGCTTTCCTCTTTCAAGGGTCCTCAGGGCCGGGTGGATGTTTCCCCTCCCAGCTTTGTCTCTTTCCTGCCCGCTGGACCAGAACTGCCCTGAGCTCTGGAACAGCTTGGCCCGAGGTCCATTTCTCCTCAGTGTGCTGTGCCCCCTGGTGGCTGCGTGCACGCTTCTCACCTGTTCAGGATCTCGAAAGTGCCCCGGGCTGGAGGGGGCAAGGGACCTCAGAGACAGCGAGGCCTGACTCCATATGTCGCATGGAAGGAAACTGAGGCTCCCCCTTGCAAGGCTGGATTTCATTTCTGTGACCAGATCCAGTTTTTCTCAGTGTCCTTTCTCCCTGTAATCAGGAGCAGATGGCCGAGGCTCCAGGAGCTGACTGGTGCAGGGGGTTTGAGCCAGAGTTGGAGAATTTCAGATTGTATCAGCTGAAGAGTTGGGGCTGGGGCGACGAGGAACTTTGAAGCCTTTGTGTTAGGACATCATGTGTTGGGCTTCGGGCCCCTTGTTGAGTAGGCACATGGCCTTGGAAAAGTTCTGTAGAAACAAAAGAGGCCGTGGCTGAGCAGCTTGAAGCACTGCTTTTGCATTGCCATTCGAGGCGGCGGGCCCCACTCGGGCATGCGATCTCAACCTCAGCCTGGACCAGGCATGCCACTCCCACCCTGCCCTTCTTGAACACACCGTTCACTTAGGGGTTGAGAGGAGGGGCTTCCAAGACAAGTGGAGTTCCGTTAAGGGTCCAGTCTCTGGAGCCAGACTGTATGTAAAACTGCCTTTAGCACTGTATAGCTGGGGTCTTTGTGTATTAATGTCTGTGCCTTGGTTTCCTCGTTTGTAAAACGGGGCAGGAACAGTGACTTGGAGAATTGGCCAAGTCGATACACGTAAAGCACTGAGCACAGAACCCGGCAGGCGGCAAACACTCAGCGACTGTTTGCTTCCACCCGCACGCAGCTGGCCCCCCAGCCTAGACTGAGTCACCTTGGCCCCTGGGGAGGAGAGAGGCCAGGCTGCTGACTCCTGGCCTTCGGTGCTCCTATCCCCGCTGGAAAGTCAGAAATCCTGGTCACCTCTGAGTTGTGGCATTGTGACTGGTTTTGCTTTTCTTCTTTATATTTTTATTGTTCTGTATTCCATAATAAAGGATGCTTCCTCCCCCCCCCCCCCCCCCCCCAGGAAGAACCACTGGCAGGAATATATGAGAGAGTTATAGGGCTAGCCTGCCCATAAAACTGTTGACTTCTTATTTCAAACGGACACCTCAGGAGCAAAAGAGCTGGGAAGAAACAGCATCTCCCCACACTGCTGACCTCTCCATTGGGCCCCGGGGGTCCTTGTAACCTTTTACCTCTTTACCCATCTTCACAGCCCCGTCCTGGTGCTCCTCAGTTTAGAATACCTTGCTTTGGCTGCTGGTAGAATTACTGGGCAGGAGAATAATGTCAATGCTCTTGCATCTTCTACTCGGCACAGCTTGTCAGGCAAGAACATCTGGCCAATTTAGCCAGTTGCTCAAATTCCTTCTGCTCCCACTTGTCTCTTTGTCCAAAAGAATCTTGATGACATAGGCTTGGACTCCCACTGGATGCCTGATAACCTGCAGATGTAGTTCATTAAAGCGATGGGATCTTCAGGTAGTCAGCACTGCTTCCTCCCGGGTGTTCAGAATGTTCTTAAGGAAGAAACATTTTGCTGTCTCCGGAAAATGAATAGGCCTCACACCCGCACTGGCCGAATTCGGCAGCCCAGCTTGAGTTAAGCTTGTTCTTCGGAAGTGCTCACTGTGCCTGTGGCAGGAGAGGAGGAAGTAGAAAGCTGCTCTTCCTGTCGCAGCCCACCTTCCTGTACAGCCCTGCACGTGCCTGCTTTTACCTGTTTATCTCTAAATGCCATGTGCATCTAATGTTTGCGTCATGGAGTAAACAAGAACCCCCTCCCCCACCAGGTTACTGCATTTTAATGATTTTTCATTCACATGGCGGTTCTGATTTCTCATGACTCTTGTTAACGCAGGATTATGCCCCCCCTCACACCCCCGCTTTTTTTTTCCTTTTTTGAGAGGAATGATTGTAACTGCTGTTAGCTAACCAGAGATTTTTATTTGTGTTTTCTCTCAAAGCATCAACGACAACTTTCTTTACCACTTACCCAATCTAAATCATCTCCCAAAAGAGGATTTTTCAGGGAAGAAACAGATCATTTAATTAAAAACCTTCTGGGCAGAAGAATTAGCAAATTAATTAATTCTTCTGATGAGCTGCAAGACAACTTTCGAGAGTTCTATGAAAGCTGGCACAGCAAGCCCACGGACTACCACGGTCTGTTGCTGCCTCACATCGAGGGGCCAGAAATCAAAGTCTGGGCCCAGCGCTATTTGCGCTGGATTCCAGAAGCCCAAATTCTGGGTGGCGGCAGAGTGGCCACCATGAGCAAACTCTTGGAAATGATGGAGGAAGTAGAGCACTTACAAGAGAAAATCGATGAGAGACACCACAGCCAGGGGGCCCTCCCGGCAGAGGCCCCCCCTTTGCTGAGGAGCTCTGCCCGCTTGTCCTCTTTGTTTCCTTTCGCTCTGCTGCAGCGACACTCCTCGAAGCCAGTCTTGCCCACCAGTGGCTGGAAAGCTTTGGGTGATGAAGACGATCTGGCCAAACGAGAAGATGAGTTTGTGGATCTGGGGGATGTGTGACCCGTCTGCTCAGTGATTGTGAAGGAGGAACGGTGAGGGCTGGGACAGGAGTCGAACACGTTTGATCTCCGGATTAGTGGGTCATGCTGAAGCTTACTGCTGCGGGGGGCGGGGAGGCATTAGTCCAGGGCTCTGTAGCAGGAAGCCTGGACCTTCAGGAAAAGAGCTGGTTCTCGTGGTTTTTTCATGCTCCTGAAAGACTATGCAATTAAAACTGTATCTCTAGTATTATTAATTGAAAGGAGTTACTACTTGACCCATAATAGAACTGGCCATTGTCTGATGCGTAAGTATTATACAGAACCTGCAGTGGCGGGTTTACTACTAGAAAGGGCTTTGGTCAGACATTCTTGGACTCGATACTTTCTTCAGATCTTTTCTGTGCCAAGATAATTTTTTTGTGTGTGTGTGCCGAGATAATTTATCTAGTCGTTGGGAAGAGTGTGTGTCTCTCTACCCATCTTTAGTTGGAGCAGGTTCAGCTTTATTCGATGTGTGTATGGCAAATTGAAAGACTCACATAGAGGTATTAAGATGTATGGCATTCATTTAACCCATAGCATTTTTCCCTTCTACATCCTCTCGCCTGAGAAAAGCTGGGGAGATTCCATCCATGTCACCCATCCTGACATTTCTGGCCATCCCCCCTCCTGCATAGACTGTGTCACTTTGTGCGGGGCTGGTGGGCTAGCCAGCCAGCCCCACCGCCCTTTCCGTGTGCTGACAGCTCCAGGTCTCCCTCTGCCCACTCAGTCCCCCTCACTGCCGTCCCCACGCTCCCTGCTGTGGTGCAACGAGTCCCAGGATCTTGCTGCTAAATCTGTTGGTTAAACTGAAAGTGCTTTGCCTTTTTCTAACAGTGTGCCGAGGCTTGGGGCCATTTGTGCCCACGGTCCTCCGCCGCAGCCCTCACGTGGTCTCCCCAAAGTCTCTGTAACCACGCAGGCGTGAGCAGGATCACTTCTGAACGTGGCTTCCGTAGGGAGGCCAAGAAGTATGAGTAGCAGAGGTGATGGTTCTCCTACAGTACCTCAACGATTTCAAAGCCATAGAAGAAACTTGATTATGCCTGGTCACCTTGGATCTGCTGTCTAAATGGTATATATATTTTTAAATGCAGGAAAGTACACTTTTAAGGACCAGTTTTTTCTTTCTCAGTGGAACTCTGTTAAAACCCACAAAAGGGAGGGGGGGGAAACTAATGTTAGAACGTTTCAAATTGAATGTTTGCCTTTTATATACATTTGCTCTCCAGTGTAGATCCCAATTTGAATGTTACATGTTTAGAAAAAGTTCAGTTGCTTGAGGGCAATAAGAAATTTGGAAACTATTGACAAAGAAGTTTCTCAGTTTGCACTGAATCGTCTTTTTGTATGTACAAGAAATTGCTTTGCTGTTCTCCCCATTCCACATTGACACGTGAGCCAGGTTGGCCTGTTAAAATGACAGAGGCTGAGAGGGCAGGATCCATGCATTGGGGGCCAAACGCATGTCCGGTCTTGGTTGCCTTAAGAGTCTCACTAGTGATTTCAGTGTTAGGCTTGCGGTAGGGATTTTAAAATACACTAGTTCATTAGCTACCTTAACATACGTTCTGTGGGCCTTCTTAAACTAGCACTAACCTCCACTTCTCTGCCCCACTGCCTCCCAAATACACTATGGAGCTAACTATTTTTGTTACCATATTATAACGTGAATATTTATACAGTAGCCTCTTCAATCTTAGAATCTTAGTAATTTTCATTCCAGAAATGCCTGGTGTGATGCTTTACACTCCACAAAGTACGGTTTAAAGGCACAAGGTCATGGCCCTTGTCATAGCGGTTGAATGTGTGTTGAAATATTTTTCTATGATTTTTTAAAAAAAAAGTACAATAGAAAAATAAGCTGTTGTAACATGTGAGGTCATGACAGTTTATGTATTTATATTTGAAATCAGATTTCTATAAACTTGTATTTGTGTACAGAATTCTCAGTGGGTTTATATATTGTGACATTTTTATTCAAGATTGAGATATGGATTATGCTTAACAGTAAAAGCTGAAATGAGACCATTTACTTTGTTTAAAATGCTGCACTGTGCAAATTTGGAAATGTACATTAATTTACTGTATATAATATCTTGAGTTTGTTTATACCTCCAAGTTTTTACACTGAAAATAAATTAGCTTTAAAAACATTCAAAACTTTTTTTTTAAAGGGAATAAGCTGTTGGGCTATTATCTGTATAAACGTGATTTCTATTTTCCCAATGTACAATGAACGTTTATATTTGTATCTCACTGCATCATATCTGATTGCAGAAATTAAAGCACAATTTACAAGCAATACTGCATTCGATGTGGTTGATATAACATGGAACAATTTCATTCATTCAGTGTGTGTGAGTGTGTGTGTGTGTGTGTGTGTGTGTGTGTGTCTTGGGTTGAGTTGAATTGGTTGGTTGGTGGTGGTGGGAAACCAACAACTAAATAAATACTTAAAATTTTAGGGGCACCTGGCTGGTTCAGTCAGTAGAGCATGAAACTTGATCTTGGGGTCGTGAGTTTGAGCTCCACGTTGGGTGTAGAGTTTATTTACTTATTAATTTTTAAAGATTTTATTTATTTATTTGACAGAGCGAGAGAGCACAAGCAGGGGGAACAGTAGAGGGAGAGGGAGAAGCAGGCTCACCGCCAAGCAGGGAGCCCGATGCGGGGCTCAATCCCAGGACCCTGAGATCATGACCTGAGCCGAAGGCAGACGCCCAACCATCTGAGCCACCCAGGCGCCCCTGGGTGTAGAGTTTAAAAAAATTTCAGGTGGGGTTGAAATACTATGAAGAACAATAAAATAGGGCAAATAAAGGAAAAGGGCTTTTTAAATATGTGAAATAAAATACTGCTGCCTCTTTGCTTTTGAGGGCATACATAACATGAGAAGTCTGTTTTAGTGCTGAAAGATCTGAGTTCAGTTAAACCATGAAAGAGAAAAGGCTTTGTTTTTCCTTCCAGAGAGGAGAAGTGAGCTGGCAGAATGAGATGGTGTGTGACGGTAGGATTTTTTCTAATTCGTTTGGTTTAGCACTTACTAGATTGAAACCTATCACTTGTGTTTGTTGGGAGAGTTCCATTTCCTTGACCTTTCCTATCTGCATCCCTCCCCCTTTCAGGGACAAGAGAAGATGTCCCCTTACTCTGCTCACCTCCTATTGTGTGTAGCCAGGCCTAGCTCCCTGTCGCCAAGCCAGCTCTGAGACATCCCTGGAATTTAATAAGCTCCCATTGCTACCACATTCTTTTCATTGTTCTTCGATAACTGTTAAGTTCCCGAGTAATAGTTAGGATCCTATAGATGAGCAGATTTTAGCCCTCTTTTCCACATTACTTTAACAGCTGTTGGACTTTGAGTGGACTTGGTGGTCTCTCTCTCCTGATTTTGCTTGTTCCTTGGTTTCCAGGTGAGGGCAGTGGGGGACTTGCAGGGGTGGGTAAAGAGTGGGACATATTTCATCTGATATGAAACAGGATTGGGCAGGGGTTCCTGTTGAGAACAGACTCCTGGCTACTGTGCTGGAGGGGAACTCGGGGGCAGAGGGAGCCTGGACTGTAGCCTATTTTCCAGGCCCCTCCTGTGTTGTGGCCAAAGTTGCTCAGCAGAAGGAAAGTCTCAGCTGTGCTTGCTGTGCTTACGCTCCACCTGGGGCTCTAGAGCACTTCTAAAGCCAGCCTTGGGACAGGGCAGAAGGGCCGACAGGACCCTCCATCCCCCCACCATTGCAGGGACAGTCTACAGTGGCCATGGCCTTCCACACATGCCCTTCCAACAGCCTCCCCAACACCACATACGGCCCTGAAGAATATTAGGATGGAGGCAGGTGAGGGGAGATCTGTTTGGTGTGGATTCCAGTATAAGGAGGGCTGTGTATGTTGATAAGCAGCCTAGCCATGGGGAAATATTTTAAATACCATTTATAGATTGAAGAGGAAAATGATTTGTTGGAGTGGTGCTTTTGTGTCTTTAAAAACACAGACAGCTCAGCCGATTTTGTGGTTCAGGCCCAGGTTCGTTCTTTTTAATCCTTCTATTACATTGTCTGCCTCTAGCAATTAAGGAATATGAAGTGTATAATCAGATGGAAAGACACACAGCTTTTTTGGCCTGCCTTTAAGAAAACTTTCCAGTTTGGCTACTAGTCCAGTTTTTGTAAAGCAGTTAACTTTTTTTTAAAATTTAGATTTGAGTATTACTTTTATAAAAGGCTGTGTGGCTTACCCCCCCCGCCCCCAATCCAGAATGGAGGACTCTTCAAATGATCATTTCACCGATGTTTGGGGCCAGGTGAATGTGGCGCTTACCCCCCCTTCCCCCCCGTAAGGGTGTGTGTGATGTGTGCCAGTCTTGGGTCAGGCAGGAATGCAGACGGAGCACATTTTCTCCCTCAGTCTGCCCCCGAGGACTGGGCTTGGAATGCTACTGCGGTCTCTCCAAGGAGACCTGAACACAGACTGTCCAGGGCCAGAAAACAGCAGGAGGCGTCACCTGGCTGGGAGGTGTGGGGCGGGGGCAGGCTGGGAAGGGCCTGACCGAAAGGAAGGTTGCATTCTAGATTTTTTTTTTTTTTCTTGAAGTTTAACTGACCTACAATGCTGTATCCATTTCAGGTGTACAACATGTTGTTTTGACAATTCTGTGAACTGCTGGATGTTCCCCGTGGTTGGCGTCGTCACCATCTGTCACCATACAACGTCAGTATAATATTATTGACTATTTCCTATGCTGTACTTTTCATCTCTGTGACTTCTTTTATAACTGGAAGTTTGTACCGCTTAATCCCCTTAATTTTGCCTATCCCCCACCCCCTCCCCTCTGGCAACCTCCAGTTCTCTGTATTTAATAAGAGTCTGGTTTTTTCGTTCATTTGTTTTGTTTTTTTGATTTCACATATAAATGAAATCTATAGTATTTGTCTTTCTCTGACTTATTTCACTTAGCATCATACCCTCGAGTTCTATCCTTGTGGTTGCAGCATTCTGGATCTTGATAAGAGTTGGGAATATGCAGGTGCATGCCAAAACTCAGCAAAAAAACAGTTAAGATGTGTTTAATTGTGTTTGAATTTTACATTACAAGAAAGAAAAAAGAAACAGCAAATCTTGAGCTCTAGTTAAAGATACACCACCAAATTATTTAGAAGTATACGGTTGTCTGCAGTTGATTCAATGGCAACAACAATAAGATGGGTTAATGGATGGGTAGCGGGATGGATATGGCTAGGTGTGTGATAAAGCAAGTAGAGCAAAATGTCAGATGATCTAAAGCTGGGTATATGAGAGTACGGGTATTCATAGAATTCTGTAAACTTTGCTGTATTTGAAACTTTACATAATAAATGGGAAAAATTTTAAGTAAATCCTTCAAGAAGTAATTATAAACAAATGTATATATGGAAGTATATTGGTCCTTTATGGGAGAAGAGAAACATCCTTACCAAATTACCTGGCCACCAGGATATAATGGAACTCGGGGAAGGAATTGGAATTTTCATGTCCCCTTGCCTTGAGTCCCCCTTTTTTTTTTTAAAGATTTTATTTATTTATTTGACAGAGAGACACAGCGAGAGAGGGAACACAAGCAGGGGGAGAGGGAGAGGGAGAAGCAGGCTTCCCGCTGAGCAGGGAGCCCGATGCGGGGCTCGATCCCAGGACCCTGGGATCCTGACCTGAGCCGAAGGCAGACGCTTAACGACTGAGCCACCCAGGCGCCCCGAGTCCCCTTTTTCTATTTCCATCGTCCCTCTGGGTCATTTTCTGTTGCCCGGATCATTATTATAAATTACCCCCTCTGCTTTCAGTGCCCTATCGTTGCCAGTGAATCTTCCTTGGAGCAGTCATGTGATTTTTTTTTTGGCTTGGAAACTTTGAATGGCTGCATCGGTGAAAACAATGGGTTGCAACAACTTAAACCAAGATGAGCAATTGTGGGGGTGCCTGGGTGGCTCAGTTGTTAAGCTTCTGCCTTCAGCTCAGGTCATGATCCCAGGGTCCTGGGATCGAGCCCCGCATCGGGCTCCCTGCTCCGTGGGAAGCCTGCTTCTCCCTCTACCAGTCCCTCTGCTTGTGTTCCCTCTCTCACTATGTCTCTCTCTGTCAATTAAATAAATAAAATCTTAAAAAAAAAAAAAAGAGCAATTGTGTGTGTGTTTGAAGGTTTAGGTCAGAGATGCTATTGGCTCTCAGTACCTGAAGCCCATGGAGTCTTCTCTGAGTGTTACTGGCCACTCTTGATCCACACACCAGCTCTCTTGTCTTCCCAGTCAATGAAGTGAGATAAGCTTCCACGGCAAATCTGATTTCAGGACACCAGCCACACTGAAGCTGGAATCTTGGTCCTCATTCCAAAGCCTGGAGAAGAGAGCCTGGGCAGGCCGGCTGTGAGCAAGGACTTTGTGTCGGACCAGGGCCACCCCGCTAGCTCAGAGTGTAACACATGTGTCTTCCCAGCCTGCGCTCAGGCTATAGCTCACTGCTCACCGATTGTGGAGTGGGCCTCTCTCTAAAGGTCAGGTTCTCAGATTAACACTATCAGTGGCTCATTTCTCTATGTCTCTAAATTCAGTCTGGCCCTGGTCCCCATCAGAGGCCATGTGGTGTAGTGGTTAAGGAGCTGGGTTCTTGGAATCTGAGCCCCTGACTTGCAGCTTACGAACTGTGGGACTTGGGCAAGGTCTCCATTTCCTTCTCTGCAAAATGGCGACACTCACAGAACCCACCTCACTGATATGCTGGACCGTTAGATATGAGTGCCTTTAGTGTCTGTCACATAGTAAATGATCAGTAAGTGTTAGCTAAGATTGTATTGTGTGTTTGGTCGTTTAAATACTTCGTGTAAACAGAGGGGTGTGTGTGTGTGTGTATGTGTGTGTATGTATGTGTGTGTGTAAATTTAATCTCCAACCTAGGAGCAGTTAGGGTTTGAAATACTCTAAACAGGAATCCAGGTTCCAGAGGTGGCCCATTAGCACTTGAAATGTTTTCAAGATCTACCTCAGAGGATTTGTTGAGCAGCATCTGGGATGTTAAAAATGCTCTTTCGGTGGTAAAATGAGTGGATACTTGGGGTCTCTGGTTGGCTAGGAATCTCATAGAGGCCCCATCCTCAGACATACAGGATAAAAATCCATCAGGCCCAGCAGCATAAACACTTGGAGCAAAGCACGAGCTCTAAAAACCCCGTTGGTCCAGTGACCTCCACATCGTCCCATGGACCACAGCGTTAGCTGCTTCTGCTGTCTCATTGCATTGATCTTGGGAGTAAAACTCATGCCAGGTCCTGGCCTGAGGACAAAG